TGAGAACACGACCAGCTCTGGTGTCCAGAAGTGGTTGTTTCCTCTGTGCAGAAGTATTGGGACCAGAATGAGGTCTGGGGGCTTGCCATTATTGTCTCCTGGGCCTCTGGCATGGCTACTGGTTGGCTCCCCCCAGGGTGATCCTCTACGTCTCTTGGGATGGGGGCTGGGGCTTCTCCAGCAGCAGTCTCCCTGGGGTCTCCAAGCTCCGGGGGAGAACTCTGTTTCTCTGGGGTTTGGAACTCCTCTATCTTCCGTGGATATTGGGGGGCAGATCTGTGGCCCCTCATGCTCCCTATTGAACACTCCTGTAGAGAAACCTTACATACACAAGCACCTGTACGGACACAGGTGCTCACATGGTGCTCTCACAAGTATGGACTTGGGCATTTCTCACACATAACCTAAGGCTGTGGTTGGCACTAAATGCACTATGAATTTTTACCATGTGCTTTCTCAGCAAAAATAGTTACTGCTGTAGATCCTCATGCAGTTGGTGCAGTCATATTTTGGTTCTGTTGTATTTTTGTGTGTTCGCCTTTTTTTCCTTCTTTTTCTGCAGGTCTGGAAGCTGGTGCTTCTACATCTTTTATTGTTTATTGCTGTGAACATTTTTTCTCTTCTCCCACCTCTTCCTTTCCTCTTGCCCTTCTCTTTCATTTCTGTCTCTGTGTCCATTGGCCTTTAAAACAACCAAACATATTTTCAAAAAATTAAAATTAAAACATAAATAGGATTAGAAAATAACTCTTTTTAGCCTCGTTCAGGGACCCATGAGCCAACCAGGTCACATCAGTCTGTGATTTTGTAGCCTCCTTTAGCTCCTTCAAACTAACGTAGGCCACGCCGATGTTCACCCTGGTTTTAGCTCTTTGCTTCGCCTCCAAAGACGTTATTCTCATACTTTCAATTCCAGGCTCCGTCATGATGCCAACACAAAACAAACCTTTTCTTTTTCTTCAGTTTTTAATGAAGATCGGCCAACTGAAACTGCTAATCGCTATCATAACTGCTAACAGCCTTTAAGTAGATAAAGTGCTCCCCCTATTGGACACCTACCTGCTCCACATAACTGTTAAGTGTGGTTTCTGGCCAGCAGAGGGCAGCAGAGTGGTGTTTAGGGTGAAGACGGTACACCTACTCACAGTCACTCAGGAATTGCTTAAAATTGTGTTAAAAACTGTTCAGTGTTACTTTAACCGGCACACTGACTGAACTCTGCTAATTTCCTTGTTTTTTACATTAATAAACAATGTTTTTGTTTAGACTTGTCCTGTTTTAATGGGTAATACTTTGTTCAGTAATGCTACTATTTCATCAGGTTACATGGTGTACCAGAGCTCAGACACGTGCAGGGGGGGGGGGGGGGTAGGGTGCTTGAGACCCTGCCCCTTTTGTCCCATGTGCCAAAGTGCCCTTTTGAGGTTTAATGATTATATGTATATGTATATATATATACTGTATATATATATATATATATATGTGTGTGTTTTTTTAAGAAGTTTCTGTTTGTGACCCCTCAACAATAACAAAAAAAATAATTAATAAAATTTCTGTTTAATAAAGTTATATAGCTGGCGTGAGTCACGTGACCATACCGTCTCTTACTCACGCCAGAGCGCACAGCCGGTTACAACAAGCTGCGAACACCCACATTTTCTTCTTGGCCGAGGGAGGGGTGCAGAGCTTTTAGGACATACATATTGATTGGGAGAAATGGACTAGTACCGGTAAATAGGATGCACACTACTATACACAGTTATTAGATTATTTTGTACATTATTAATTTGTTTTGTGGCAGTAGGTGTGTGTGATATATTACTAGCTGGGTGTGTGTCTGTGGCTGGGTACCGATTCTGAACCTCAGTAGCTTTAGGATTAACCAAAAACATTCTGTACATAAGTACTTGTACGAAAATATTTTTTCAATCTTAAATATTGGGAATTTGCCAATAAAAAATCATTGTTGTTAACTAGGTCCCGCAAAGTTGCATTCCTATTGCTGCTGCGTGTCACGTAACTGGGGTCTCACACAGCCCTGCTTCTTGTTTACAGAATCACTTCCTGGTTCACAGACTGATAAAACTTGAACAAATTTAAAATTTAGCTACATTTTGTGAAAGGAAATAAGAAAAATACTAAAGGTAACATCCGTCACAAGTTTTGTGTTACAAAATATTCAGTCCTTGTCTGTAAATTCTGTCCAGCATTTTAGGGAACATAGTTTTGTTTTAGATTTTAAAGTTTCTCAGCCCTTCTTGTGGGTTTTATAGTTCACTAATACTATGCATATTCTCAAAATTTTGGAGTTTATATTTGCTCTCTTTTTGAATGCATTGTATTAAAAACATTATGTTTTAAAGATGTAAATTTAAAAAAAACTACTGTTTTCACAGCAAAATTATTTTATCTGTACAGTTCTCTGTTTTGCACAAAGTAGATCGTTAAACTGAATGAAAGCATAAACATTGTTTTATTCTTTATTTTTATTATACTTACTAAAGCACTATGATTAAAATAGTATGGAAATATTCTGGATCAGCATCATGAAGCAAATTTGAACCAACATCTGTTGGTCAGGCTGAAAAGTTTGGGAACTACTGCTCTAAGTGATAAGTGAATAATGTTTATTATTATATTTTTTGTGCAGTTTTTTAGGGCTTTTATGTTTTCTGTAAAGATTGGTATGCTGAAAATAATTTAATGTTTTGCATAAAGCATGAGGTTTTGGTTAGTTATTGATTGGGAGAATAACAAATGACTTAATTAAATAGTGGGACGCCTCTGTCAGTGCGCCCCAGGGCAGCTGTGGCTACATCGTAGCTTATCACCATCAGTGTGTGAATGGATGAATGATACACTGTAGTGTAAAGCACTTTGGAGTCCTTACTCTAAGAGGCGCTATACAAGTGCGGATCATTTATCATTTATAGTGTTGATCAGGCAGAGCTTTGTTGCCAGCGTTCCATTGCACAATGGCTTCAAACACATATATAATAGTTAGTTTTTACGTAAACCATTGGAGGAAATTACACAAACTGACTGAGCTCTAGTTAAGGCGCTTGCAATAGTGTGTGTGTGTGTGTGTGTGTGTGTGTGTGTGTGTGTGTGTGCGTGCATGTGTTTGGGGGAGGGTACATTGGAACTTTGCCCCCCCCCCCCCCCCCCCCCAGTTTGAAAATCCTATCTGCGCCCCTGTTCGGGAGGGACTCAGAGTAGAACCGCTGCTCCTCCGGATCGAAAGGAGCCAGTTGAGGTGGTTTGGGCATCTGGTCTGGATGCCTCCTGGACGCCTCCCCGGGGAGGTGTTTCGGGCATGTCCTGCCGGCAGGAGGCCCCCGGGTCGACCCAGGACACGTTGGAGAGGTTACATCTCCAATCTGGTCCGGGAACGCCTCGGGGTCCTGCCGGAGGAGCTGGTGGAGAAGGCCGGGGAGAGGACGGTCTGGAGCTCCCCAGTTGGGATGCTGCCCCCGCGACCCGGACCCAGATAAGCGGAAGAAGACGACGACGACGATGTTTACTGTTGTGCTACTTTATAATGCAGTAGACAAAGAAAGGTTGACAATTGTGTTTGTGTTGCGTTGGACCACAGACAGTCACCACCTGAGTGTTTTACCTGAAGCCAGTGTCCGACATGTCGCACCAACATCGCACTAACTGCTGCTCCTATCTGGCTAAGTGCACCACTGAGCCTGAAAATGGACTTTCTCCTTTCTCTTTCATTTTTATCTGGAGCTGCTGCACTTTATTAATCGCTCTTGCTTTAGCCTCCGTCTTGCTAAACGTTGTTTCGTCGCTCTCAGAACACTCCCAATAAAAACGTGCCATGCTGCCGTAACTAATGCTGCAGTGATGCTGTTCACGTTTCTCCTCCACCCTTCTCTTCCTTTAAAAAGTTTGTTTTCACATGTTTATCACCTGAAATACAATATCCTCTTTGCAGTCATTTTCCATGGATATAAGGAGAAATGCTCCGTTTTCATTCTGCTGTTTTTGTCTAAAATCCTGTTACTGAGGACCTGAATGTGTTTTTTTTACTGTTAGTGAGATCTTTTACACTTATAGTGAAACATGCATGAAACAGGGAACTCTAGTAAGAATCCTTATTTTCTTTTGCCTGACTGAAAGAAAAGAAGGATTTTTAGTTTACAGTTTTTGCCCATTGCATGAACACCATAGACACATGCTTAAACCAGAGTAACAGAACATGAAGTTGTTGTCACCATACCTTAAACAAAAGTGCTGCTTAGCCCTTTAGTTGCAGTTCTCCAACACACTTGGTCCTGCACATTTCACACATTTTCATACATAAGACACTTTGTTCAAAATGGAATCTCGGTACCATTGGGAAAACACATCGATTGAAAATACAAAACACATTGGGTAATTTAAAATACTTAGATACACACCTAAAAACACTTACTCACAAAACTGAACACCAATCAGCCAGCTGCAAAAAGATTCACTTAAGCCATTCTGAGAACTTTGCATGGAAGAAGAAGAAGAAGAAGAAGAGAGAGAGAGAGAGAGAGAGAGAGAGAGAGAGAGAGAGCGAGAGAGAGAGAGAGAGAGAGAGAGAGAGAGAGAGAGAGAGAGAGAGAGAGAGAGAGAGAGATGTTTTGCTGCGAGGTCACAAGTTCAAAACTCAGCTGGGGTCTTGTGTGTGTTCACTCTGCATGAGTGGACCAAAAACGTGATTATTCAACATAAACAACAATAGTTAGACCTTCATGACATTAGTGTGAACACACTTTCATCCAAATTGTTGAATCAGTGTGTGTGTGTGTGTGTGTGTGTGTGTGTGTGTGTGTGTAGGGCAACACAGAACTGTCTCTGAACTATACACCAAAGGAATAACGCTCTGGTTGTCATGGAGATAACAGATGTGACAGCTGGAGATAAGTCCTGCACTGGGTATTATGGGCTGTCTGTGGAGTTGTTGCTTAGCAAATAGAGCGTTCCCTAATCTTCTGCTTCTTTGCTGTTTGTTTGCACAGACTTATCTCCTGGGCATCCTCGTCTCCATATGTGGGAATGTCCTCATCAGCATTTCACTCAACATACAGGTAAGGAACGCTGGATTCTCAGCTCTCAGCTAGCATGTAGCTGTTCTGAAGACCAGTTCAAATCTGCCTTTTCCTTTTCCTGACTGCTCCTTGCTCATGGATTTTTGTACACCTGCCCTCAGGTACTGGATCTCCTCAGCTGGCGCCATCAGAGTCACTCGTTTTATAGCTATGTGCTGTAAGCTTTTGTTCCACGTTCTAATGATGCAGCTTTCACGTTCATCAACATGATCTCAATAAGAGCGCCTTGGGGGAATCTACACGATGGTTTAGCTGATGTTAAGTAATGATCTGAGAAGGTAGAGTCATCAGAGGGTTGCAGGTTCGATCCCAGCTCCAACCAGAGAATTCTGCTATTGTGTCATTGGGCAAGACACTTAACCCCCTTACCTGCTGGTGGTGGTCGGAGGGACCGGTGGCGCCAGTGCTCTGCAGCCTACGTCAGTGCGCTCCAGGGCAGCTGTGGCTACATCGTAGCTCATCATCACCAGTGTGTGGATGGTGCAATGTAGTGTAAAGCTTGGAGCACTATGACTATGAAAGGCGCTCTCTATGAGTGTGGGTTATTTGTGTCTGTGATTAAGTCTCAGCTAGCTCTACCTCACACTTTACTCACATATCTGTCACAGCAAGTGGATTTTTGCCATAATTAGTACGATTCTGTTTGTTTCAGATATGTAAGGTTGTGTTGTGAGTTCTCATTTACCCCGACGGTCCTGTTTGTGGAGCTCTCCTCTTCCAGTAGCTGACTGACGTGTCTCTGTCCTCCTCTTCCCGACAGAAATACGCCCATGTCCGACAGGCTCAGCGGGGCTCCCAGCCCTACTATACCTCGGTGATGTGGTGGTGTGGTGTGGTTCTGATGGGTGTCGGGGAACTGGGGAACTTTGCTGCCTATGGCTTTGCCCCAGCATCACTCATAGCCCCTCTGGGCTGTGTGTCTGTGATCGGTGAGTTACACACCAACAGGTGTCACACTTGTCTCTGTGGTTCTGCCATAATCGGGTCTTTGTGACAAGATTTAGCAAAGGAATCAAAACACAAAGTTAGCCACAGCTACGGTCCGGGTACATCATTTGGTCATTTCTCAGGGTGGGTTTTGTCTCAAACAAATAAAGTCCTGTCTGTCTTTAACACAAGTTTAGTTTCTATAGAGCATGCACAGTTCTCACCTTGGACTATATTTGGCTCTATAGCAGAAACCAAGTAGCTGCTTCCACCCTCACCTGTCTGGCTCACACCAGGTCTGCTGTAGAAATCATTCCCGAAGCGCCTCTTTAGGCGAGTAAAAGTCAGCCATCAGTTCTGAACGAGGGCGAGCCTTGTCTTTAAAAATCGGCAGTACATACCGGCCATCGGCTCGTGTCTCCCACACATCTGTGTCGATATCGGCCATAAAAAAGCCAATATGGGTTGACCTCGAGGAACACCATGGGAAACATTCCATCTCTGTTAAAGGGTGTTCGTCCTGGAATGGTGTTCCAGTTTTATTGGAGAGTCTTCCACTTCTTCCACTGCTTTTGTGAGCATTTGTAGCTCTGCCTGTGGAGATGGGGCTCATGTTTAATGTCCTGATATCTCTGATCTGTTTATTGCTGTTGTGTCTAAAACACGTGAGGACTACCGATGGAAAGTAGCCTAGGGCTAACGCAGATAAACTCATCTGGGTCTGATAACGAGCTTGGTGAGTTTCATTCCTGCTAAAACTGGAGAGATAATGTTTTTAACTTCTCTCTCTCTGTGAATGAGAAGGTGATGGACTAACCCTGATTCATTATTCAGTCACTCCTCTCGCTCCTGCCCATCACCACTGCACTCATAATAATGGCAGCTATTAACCCTTCTCCTGCAGCCGTGCCTCCTCACTAAATGATTGGTTTGAGTCAAATCTTGTTGAGAAGGCTGCAGCTCTTGTTCTTTATGGTTTTGCTGCTTAACTTGCTTCAGTGAGCAGCTGCATGGCACGTGTGTGTGTGTGTGTGTGTGTGTGTGTGTGTGTGTGTGTGTGTGTGTGTGTGTGTGTGTGTGTGTGTCAGAACGGCCTGCACACACACATATGCTCTCTTGGATGTGTAGTAATGGAGAACCTGGCAGTAGGAACGTAGTCTACCTGGCGTTCTTTCGCTGCAGGACACTAATGGGCCATTCCCATCTGTACCGGGTCGGCCCGGGCCGGGTAGCGTAGGTTGTTTACATATCTGGGTGGCCTGGTATTTTTCCGGGCCAACCAAGGCTCATTCTCAGCCCTCTTCTCGAGGGGTCTGCTTCAGGCCGACCAGGGCCAACACACCCACTGCTGGCAGCAAATTCACACCTTCCATTAGAGCAAGCCTCTGATTGGTGGGTAGAGTCAGCCCACATGGGCTTAAGGCAAGGATGTGTGGAATCAACCGGGTCAGGCTGGGGCCGATTGGGGCTACCTGGCCCGGGCCGACCCGGTACAGATGAGAATGGCCCAAAAGACAGAAGAGCGATCTGACTGTCATCTCCAGGAATCCTTAAATGTGAAAAGTTATCTGCATTTTCCCTAAGTGGATTCTTGTTTTGTAGAAACATCATTTAGTCCGACTTGCAAAAACAATTGATTCAGGAGGTTTGAATTGACTCTTATTGCAATTAATGGAACAGTACTGAACTTTTTCATATTTCTAAATCATCTTCTTGAGCTAAGATGAGCCCTCGGCTCCTCGTGAGCAGGTTATCCTGCTTCAGCCGCTCCCCTGAAGTGTCACGAAGTCACGCTTTATGGCGATCCATGTTTACACCTCAGGACAGATGAGCTGTACCTGGTTAGCACTTATGTAACGTGTTTATCATGGTGGAGCCTCAGAAGAAACAAAGAAAACATTTATCTGATGAAGCTAAAAAGATAAAATAACATCCAACCACAACTGGAGTCCAACAAGAGTCAGCATCGGGACTTTTCTGTCTCACGAGAGCTCGCACACAAAGATTCAGACCTAACAATCATCCTCTTGCTCTTGTAAGTAAAGCTTTTACGTGTTTGTCAGGTGGTAGTGATCACATCGCTCACCAGAACACCCACATGAGCTTCTATTTTGTATTCATTCTGTCTGGTTCTTCTGCTGGAACACAGGAACGTTGCTCTACCTTTTTAGATAAATGATGGACCTCTCCTGTCTCCATCAGAGCTAGCTGCTAATGGTGGCGTCACTTCCTTCTCCATTTATCCGCAGGCAACAGAGGACGATGTCTCACACACACACACACACACACACACGCACACACACATGCACAGACACACGCACAGACACACACACGGGGGGGGGGGGGGGGGGGGGGGGGTCCCGAGAGGTTCCTGTTGCCACATTTTATGGAGCGGTGTGAATCTCGCTTTGCCTGGAGTTGCTATGGTTACTTGTTGGATCCAGCTGATCCCAGAGGTTCATGTACGTGCTCGCAGTATGAAGCCTGTCACGTTTCATCAGAAGGGAGTGTTTGTGTTCATATTGAATGAACAGCCGCAGCAGCGCTGTGTGTAGCCACTCATCATCTTCAGAAGGAACGTGTCACGCTGGTCTGCTGGTGACAGGCTGGACTACATGAGGAAGTTTTCTACATGCTCTTTAGCTAGGGTGGTCTCTAATGTTAGCGTTAGTGTGGGCATGCTTATCGTCCATGTAGTCTGTCTCGTCACATCAACGCCGTAATCCTGCATGTGTCCGACACTGAGCCGTTGGGCTCTGTGGCTAATCTTCTCATCGTGTTTCTAGAGCTTTTGCAAAAAACATCTACATTCCCATCTGTTTATTTTTCCACTATTTTCAATCCAGTCTGTTCCTGTCCATGTGCCGTCACCTGCTCTCCCCTCCAGCTGTGTGGAAACAATCCAACATCCTCCTCCAACTGAGTGTGCTCCCAGACCAGAGCGGACTCCAAATGATGGAAGATTAGCGTCTTACTGAGCCTGTCAGGCTTTAAATTGTACTGGAGGTTATGTTTGGGTTCGGCCCTGACACACACCACCTTCATCATCATCAGGACACACTTCATTTTTATATCAGTTCTATGGAAAGACAATGGACTGGAAAAGAAATGTGTGTAACCGAGTTTGTAACTTGCAAATCCTTAAAACCCCAAACAACGAACCACCTGATACATGTCCTACCTCTGAGAGGTGCCAGACTGGGTCTGAACCCACACAAAACCCACTTTGGAGCTTGTGGCCATGTTTATTGTTATTTCCTCCTTAAAAACACCCAAAGCAGTTTCTGGCTTCTTGCATGCATTTTCCCATCTCAGTTTGTTTCCTTCAGCTCACAGTCTGCTCCTCACCATCAAGGCAGTGGTAATGATTGAGGCCGATGATGTCACAGCGATGTGACGAGTGCTGTCCTCATTCTACCTGAGCATGGGTCTGGTGAATCTTCACTGGCAAAGGCTATCCCAGGATGCTTTGCGCGCCGGCCAGGCGGAAGAAGCAGGAGAGCAGCGAATTTTAAATGTAGGTTTGTTAGAAACAGTGTTTGAAAATGAAAAGGCGTAGACGTGTGGAACTCTGAAAAATGATTAGTAATGATTATTTCCTGTTAGGGGTAACCTAACCCTTAATTAGTCACCCTGAGTGTTTCACGCAGGCTGAACATAAAAATAGTCTCCTGCACCGATCTCCTGCACTAGCTTCGGATACACTGATGCCTGAATTTGAATGGAGACCCAGCAGATGAGAGGACCAGGACGACACATCTTCCACTCAAATTCCCCCTCCCAGAATTTACCCTTGAACTTCCAGCAATGGAAACACACCAGTAGACGCCCAAGAACCAGTAAAGAGGTGTTGCAACTATGGGGAGCACGGTGTCTCGTTATTTTATGTGTTATTACTGGGCTTCTAAGATCGATGCACTTTTGTTGCCTCTGTCAGAACGCCTCCGGGCAAATGTGACTACATTGTAGCTCATCACCACCAGCGTGTGAATGGATGAATGATATGCTGTAGTTTAAACAAATTGACTCCTTCTAATTATTTAAATCATCATATTGTTCCAAGTACAGGGTGAGGAGGAGGAGCAGCAACCATTTTTCATTCAGACCAATTAATCCCTTATCGGTTAATAGTTACAGTTCTTTTGAACATCTTATTCCTAGTTTCCTCAACCAGATTGCAAAACTGTAAAAACACTCTTGTTTGTAGTTTTTGCAACAACTTAATGGGATTTTTTCATGAGTAAAATTAAGTCTATTAGAAACAAAATCATTAGCATCTCCCCTAATGCGATTTATTCTTCCTCCAACACATTCTCACACCCAAAGTATCAAAAAATTACGATGTGAGACCAAGCATTTGTTTTGGGTTAGGAGCCAACACGCTGTGCCAGAGCATCGTTGTCCGACTGTATAACGGAGATTTCACCGAATTGTGACCTTTACCCTCTTGCGCATGCAAGACTTTGTTTCTAGTTGTAACGTCCCTCTCCAACACGGTTAACGAGAAGTTTAGAATGAGAAACTGGGTTAAGTTTAGGATGGGAGTGAGGGGAAGGTTAAATAGCAAGAGGTGTTGGTGAAATGTGCGTTTTACCGCGGAGTCGGAAACCAATGTTCTGGCACAGCACATCGCCTCCTGACGCATTGGCACTCCCAATGCATCGGAAACAAACGTTTGGTCACCCAATGTCATTTTTCGACGCTTTGGGATTGAGAATGTGTTGCTTCCTCATCTAAACCTTCAACTTGCATTTTAGATCCAATCCCAACCAAATTATTTAAAGATGCATTTCCTTTGATTACTGCCCCATTCTAGATATAATCAATCTATCCTTAATAAATGGATACGTACCACAGGATTTTAAGGTTGCTGTAATCAAACCTTTACTTAGAAAGCCTTCTCTGGATCCAGATGACCCAATGAATTATAGACCAATATCTAACCTTCCACTTTTATCCAAAGTCCTGGAGAAAATAGTGGCCATCCAAGTATGTGAGCATCTAAACACTAATGCTCTGTTTGAGGAATTTCAGTCTGGTTTTAGAGAGTATCACAGCACTGAAACTGCATCAGTGAGAGTTACAAATTATATTCTCATGGCCTCAGATAAGAATCTTGTGTCTGTTCTAGTCTTGTTAGGTCTCAGTGCTGCCTTTGACAAAGTTGATCACAATATTCTTTTAGAAAGACTTGAACATGTTGTAGGGATCAAAGGAACAGCGCTAGGCTGGTTTAAATCCTACCTGTCTGACAGATTTCATTTTGTAAATGTACATGGCAAATCATCTTCATACTCCAGGGTTACTTGCGGAATACCACAGGGTTCAGTGCTTGGACCAATTCTTTTTACTATATATATGCTCCCAATTGGTAAAATCATTAGACAGCATGGGATAAACTTCCACTGTTATGCTGACGATACTCAGTTATATTTATCCATTAATCCTGATGAACCTAATTGGTTGGGTAGATTACAGGCTTGTCTTGAGGACATAAAAAATTGGATGACTCTAAACTTCTTGCTTTTAAATCAAGACAAGACGGAAGTTCTCATCTTTGTACCAGAAATCCAGAAAAGGAAATTGCTTAGCCAATCGCCTGACCTTAATGGCATTACATTAATCTCCGAGAACAAAGCAAGGAACCTTGGTGTTATCTTTGACCAGGACATGTCATTCAAATCCCAGGTTTCACAAGTTTGTCGGATTTCCTTTTTCCACCTTCGGAATATTGCTAAGATTAGAAGCATCCTTTCCAGGAGTGATGCTGAAAAACTAGTTCATGCATTTTATTACATCAAGACTGGATTACTGTAATTCATTACTCTCAGGAAGTCCACAGAATGTAGTTAAAAGTCTTCAGCTTGTCCAAAATGCTAAAGCTAGAGTTTTGATAAGAATTAAAAAGAGAGATCATATATCTCCTGTCTTAGCTTCCCTACATCCGCTACCTGTTAAATTCAGAATAGATTTTAAGATCCTTCTTCTCACATATAAAGCTCTTAATAATCAAGCTCCATCATACATCAGTGACCTGATTGTTCCATACGTTCCTAATCGAGCACTTCGCTCTCAGACTGCAGGTTTGCTGGTGGTTCCCAGAATATCTAAAAATAGGATGGGAGGCAGATCTTTTAGCTATCAGGCTCCTCTCTTGTGGAACCAGCTCCCAGCTTTAGTCCGTGAGGCAGACACCTTATCTACGTTTAAGACTAGGCTTAAAACTTTTTTTTATTTGATAGGGCCTATGGTTAAAATCTGATGTTAGCCTAGATGGGCTGCTCAGTGGCGCAGTGGTTAGAGCTGTTGCCTTGCAGTGAGAAGGTTCTGGGTTCAATTCCCAGCCTGGGATCTTTCTGCATTGAGTTTGCATGTTCTCCCTGTGCATGCGTGAGTTCTGTCTGGTCTGTCTAAATTGTCCTTAGGTGTGAGTGTGTGTGTGCGTGGTTGTTTGTCCTGTGTGTCTCTATGATGCCCTGCGATGGACTGGCTCTCTGTCCAAGGTGTACCCCGCCTACTTGCCCGTTGACTGCTGGAAATAGCCACCAGCGACCTTGCGTGGACAAGCGGGTTCAGAAGATGGATGGATGTTAGCCTTGATCTGGACAAGTGGGGGAGTAGAGGGAGGTGGAGTGTACAGTCGGTAAAGACGGCTCTCCCTTGCCTGGCCTCCAACATGCCTCCATCTAAAAGGCTAGGCTATCCAGAGTTATCTCTGTAGTAATGCTGCTATAGGCTTAGACTGTTGGAGGACACACTGACCACTTTCCACACTCGACTACTTTCTTCTACAATCTGCTCTTTAACTGTGTTATTTCCTGCTATTTCAGCTGTTAACTTTATTTTTTCTCTAAGTGTTTTTCTCCCCAGAAGAAGCTACAATGATGTTCAGCTGAGCTGTGGTGGCCTCATGGAGGGGGCCATCGTCTAGCACACTGCTGCTAACCACTTAAACATTCTCCCTCTCCTGATAACTTTTTACTCTCTTTGACATTGAATGTGCTACTACTAGTTTACCAGTTTAATTATAGATTCACTAGGATAAATACAATAAAGTTTATCCCTCACCAAATAGAATATTTACTAAGAAATCACAACGTAACCATAGAAACAGAGGAGAGTGCGGGAAGCAGAGGACGACGTCGCCTTCTGCCGCCCGCGGATAAATGGAGAAGGAAGTGACGCCATCATCAGTGGCTAGCTCTGAAGAAGACTGCAGGAGTGATTGAAACTGTCAGCAAGTTAAAAAAAACTTTCCTGTTTTAAAAAATAAAACTTAGAAATGCATTCAGAAGAAAAACACAGCAGGAATAAAAGATGCATAAAGAAGGAAAGCTGTAAGTCTTTGTTTAGAATAAGGAGAAAGTTAGAAGAACCCAAATCCCAGCAGAAACCCGTTGAGCTGACCTGTGTGTTTTGTCTCGGCCCGGTCCGAATGACCGTCCACCTAAACAACTTTCTGCATGTCGTCTTTGTGACAGCTACAGGCTGCATCTACCTCCCGGTGGGATCTTTTCTCAAGGAAACTGGGCGAATGTGAGCTGTAGCTCTGGCAGGTTTTATGATGCTGCTTGATTCAGACATGCTAAGTACGGTGTTTGATGTCTCCATCCCTTTTGTTTGTATCTTCAAAAAACCTCGTAGGATTTAAAGTACAGGCAGATGCTGTCTTACATCTATGATGCAGAAATCTGGTTCAATTCTCTTCTTTTCTCTCTCCAGCCAGCGCTGTCATCTCTGTGTTTTTTCTGAAGGAGACCATTCGGGCTTCGGACATCGTTGGTAAGTAAACACTCTGAGTCATTGCAGAGTAAACCTATGTGTCCTCTGATCATAAATGTAAAGACACTAACCCTAAACCCTGGAGTAGAGAGGAAAGGTGTGCCGAGCGATTCTAGTCCTGATACGCCGAGTCTGCTGCTCAATGACCTGGTTGTCACGGCTGTCACGGTGACGACCGCCACAGCCGGCAGCTCTTTTGTATCAGCAGCTCTCTGTGTTGTTTTCCAAGTAAAGCACTTTTTATGCTAGCCTTTTGTGTGCCTGAAAACAGTGATTGGTTTTATTCAACACGAATTATACTTTCCTGTTAAGAAACAAAGCTGTGTGCAAATGATGCAAGTCCAACTAAAAACGCAACGAATGAAAATCTCAGTTAGTGCTGCAGCTTGTAGGAATGTTTGGATGAAGAAAGTTGATTTTGGTGCTGCAAGGTCACCTTTTGCACAAAGGACTCCTTCTCTGTCACAATGAGTAAAAGTCCAAGTGAGCTACAGAAAGAAGGTCAGGTGGTTTCAGAGGAAATGGCAAAGTTTCTACAATTCAGTAATAAAATCATCTCCTTCATTAAAGGGGGTGAGCACAGAATGACTGTAGTTCTGTTTGGTACTGGTTCAAGCTAAGTTACTTTCCTCACTTTCAGCCTGTTTCCACTAGCAGAATTTCAGGGGAACATTACCAGAACTTTGCAAGATGTCCAGGAGTCTCATGCATCAGATCTGTGCATAGGAACTAATGTATGCAGGTTTTCTTTCTTTCTTGGGTAGAACGCAGGAATCCCCTCAGGAGCTGAAGACATAGCATGACCAAATATGGTTAAATGAGGGCGTTTCTGTATGTAAATGACTGAGAACGGACACAAGCACCTGGGTAGCACAGGTGGGGTTTATCATCAGACGAGTGATGATGAGGAACGTGCGTATAAGGCCACTACACATTTCATAAATCAGGATTGCGACTGTTCGTACAAACGTTCTAAACGCCGCTCATAGGAACAAATTTAGGAATATTTCTACAAACATTTGATGAATTAACCCCCCGGTCTCCACTTCACCGGGAAGGTTGAGCAGGTCGTTCCAGGAACCAACGTAGTGCCTGACCTGGGGAAGGTCTCAGAAAGGCCCGGTGGAGTCGCTCGCAGAACCTTAACTCATGCTGATTGGTTGTAACTCAGTAGAAAACGACACCAGCACTAGTAAAGATGGAAGAGTTGCTGTGTTTTGTAGCTGCCGGAATGAGGAGGCTTTATAACAGGATGAACTGTATTACAGCAGAGGGAAGCATCCATTTTGTTCATTCTTCTTCTCTCATCTCTGCAGGAGAGTGAGTACTGACCCCTAGTGGTTACAAAACACAACTGTGGTCAAACGTTAAACAAGCAGCATTCACGATGCTTTTGAATCACCGTTACCAATCCGCCCACACCGGCAATCCCCCAAAACGACTCAACTCACAGAAGGCTGTAAAACACGGAGCTTCTTCTGCTCGTGAACATGTTACACAACTGCTCCCCCAGAGAAATGAGACTTCTAATGTCCATGGAGGCCTTTCGGCTTGGGTCAGTGACATCACTCACTGCTGAAGATGTCGGGATAAGCTGACATCTGTGCAAATTCCTGAAAGCTGAAATTTTTTTTTATGGAGACACGAGAGCTAAGCAGACCGATCGATTCCCCCCTCCCAGAAACTCCCCAGACCTCCTTTACTGGAACACGGCTAATGATTTCCTTTTTGTCTTTGTTGTTCTAGGTGGCACCCTGGCCATCACTGGAACATACCTTCTGGTGACCTTTGCCCCCCACACTTCCACACACATCACAGCTCATCTGGTCCAGTACTACGCCATCAGCTGGCACTTCCTTCTTTACCTTGTGTGTAATCCTGTTACTGGGCAGTTTCCATCATTTAGTTTTGATCAGTCTGACAGCTGCATGTGTGAAAAGATATGTTCTTTAGCAGAAAATGTAAAATAATCTTGCTTTGTACTTGCTTCTGCCTCATCGTCAGCATTATCACTCATCCACGGTCCTGTTTGGTTTCACCTCAGGCAGCATGGCCATAAACATAGCCATTACCATGGTGACAGAGCTGCACTACTCATCTCTCTTAAAACCTGCTCATGACAAAAATGTTAATATTGGCTTTGAGTGTAAAAGCTTGACTCCTGAGATGCTGAGGTCAGACCCAGCTGTTTGTGCATGCCACCGGGTACCGCCTTTAAACTTCTGCAGTACACAAGTCGGACTGGCTAGTCGGACTAATGCTCCTGTCGCCAGGGACTTCCGCACTGCTAATTTTGGTCTTCTCAACATTCGCTCCCTCTCTGGTAAAGGACATCTCCTCCAAGATACCATCAGTGACCATAAGCTAGACTTTCTTTGTCTGAACGAAACATGGCAACAACCCAGCGATTTCTCACAACTCAATGACTGTACTCCTCCCGGATTTGTTTACCTCTCCAAACCCCGTGGGTCGGGCCGCGGCGGTGGTCTCGCGATACTGTATCGCGAGACTTGGAAGGTCCTTCCCGTAAACCTTCCTCCTCTCACCACTCTGGAATGCCTCGCCTGTCAACTCTCCGGCCCGACCCCCACAATAATTGTCACTGTTTATCGTCCCCCCAAGTTCAGCCCTGAGTTTTTAAATGAACTCTCTGCTCTTTTATCCCATCTGTCCGCCCTTTCCCCAAATGTAATTTTACTTGGTGATTTTAATATTCATATGGACAATATGGCCCTCCCCCTCAGCAAAGACTTCTCCTCATCTTTGGACAGCCTCAGTTTTCATCAATATGCCAATTTTCCCACTCACATTAAAGGTCACACCCTGGATTTAATCTGCTGCTCCGGCCTGACCCCCTCCAACTGTACAGCTGACCCGCTCCCTTTCACGGACCACTTCCTCATCTCCTTTTCTGTTCCCCTCCGTCTCTCCATCATCAAGTCACCACGTATCATTTCTTTTCGTAATATTAAGGACATTGATCTAGCCTCCCTGTCCTCCAGTTTTGCCACCTTGACCCCTAATTTGTCCTCTACTCCCGATGATCTTGTCATTCAGTACAATAACGGTCTGGTTTCTATCCTTAATTCATTTGCTCCCATCAAATCCCGCTCTGTATATTTTACTCGGTCTGCTCCATGGTTCACCCCTGCCCTTCGCTCCTTGAAAGCTACCAACCGGAGGCTTGAAAGACTCTACAAGAAAACCGGTCTCACCATCCATAAAGACTTATATTCTGCTCAGATTTCTCTCTACAAGGACTCCATCTCCCATGCCAAATCTCAGTATTACTCCGGTCTCATCTCGTCCAACTCCAGCAACACTAAAACATTATTTTCCATCATGAACAGCATTTTTCAGCCTCCCGACTCCTTACCCATCCATCTTTACTCTTCAGAAACCTGTAACTCTCTCCTTCAGTTTTTTAATGAGAAGGTCAATAGAATCCATCTCTCTTTACCTCATTCCTCCCCTCCCTCTCCTGATTTATTTGAACCCACCATTCCGTTCTCCTCCTTTGAACTTCCCCATCCCTCAGAAATATTAGATTACATCACCAAATCCAAACCTTCCACCTGTCAACTGGACCCTATTCCAACTGTTTTAGTTAAATCCTGCCTTTCTTCTCTGCTCCCTTTTATAACAGCCATTATTCATTCCTCACTATCCTCTGGTACGGTCCCATCCCTATTCAAATCCGCTTCAGTCAGCCCTATTCTAAAAAAACCTGGTTTAGATCCCAATGATTTCAATAACCTCCGTCCCATTTCCCATCTTCCCTTCATTTCCAAAGTCCTTGAGAAAACTGTTGCATCTCAGCTCCATTCACATCTCACCCGCAATAACCTTTATGAACAGTTTCAGTCTGGCTTCCGTCCCCACCACAGCACAGAAACAGCTCTCATCAAGATCACTAACGACCTACTCATTGCTGCTGATTCTGGTTTAATCTCTATTCTTATTCTCCTCGATCTGAGTGCGGCCTTTGACACCATTTCTCATCCCATCCTCCTTAATAGACTCTATTCCTTAGGCATCACTCACACCCCCCTCCGCTGGTTTCAATCTTACCTTACTGGCCGCACTCAGTTCATCCAGTTAAAATCCTTTACCTCAGAACCCTCCCCAGTCAAGTCAGGTGTGCCCCAGGGCTCTGTCCTGGGGCCCCTCCTCTTCATAGTATATCTCCTCCCTATCGGCAAAATCTTCCGCAAATTCAATATCCAGTTTCACTGCTTTGCAGATGACACCCAGCTCTACATTTCCAGTAAGCCCAACTCAACTCTCCCACCATCCTCCCTTACACTCTGCCTCTCTGAAATCAAATCATGGTTCACCTCTAATTTCCTCAAACTCAACGGCAATAAAACTGAACTTCTTCTTGTTGGCACTAACTCCACGCTCTCAACATCTGACAGCTTTTCTTTAACTATTGACAGTGCCACAGTCTCCCCCTCACCTCATGTCAAGAGTCTGGGTGTCATTCTCGACAGCTCCCTTTCTTTTCAGGCTCACATTAATAACTTAATTCGGTCAGCATACTTCCATCTACGTTCCATAAACCGTCTTCGTCCCTCACTGACCCCTCACACTGCCGCCATTCTCGTCCACAGCCTCGTCACCTCCCGTCTCGACTATTGCAATTCACTTCTTTATGGTCTCCCCAACAAACTCCTTCATAAACTGCAACTGGTCCAGAATTCAGCAGCCCGTATTATCACCAGAACCCCTTCCTTTCACCACATCACGCCGGTTCTCCAGCAGCTCCACTGGCTCCCAGTTAAATTCAGGCCCATCTTCAAAATTCTCCTCCATACCTTCAAAGCAATCCACAACCTCTCTCCTCCATATATCTCAGACCTTATAAGTATTCACACCCCGTCCCGTTCACTCAGATCTTCTTCTTCCATCCATCTTGCGGTTCCTTCTGCCCGTCTCGCTACCATGGGGAGCAGAGCTTTCAGCCGCTCTGCTCCTCGACTCTGGAACTCACTTCCCCCAGACATCAGGAACATCGACAGTTTTACCCTTTTCCAATCAAAACTCAAAACACATATGTTTAAATCTGCCTACAACCTCTGATTTTATTGAAATGTTTCTCTCTGTTTTTTCTTCTTTGGGTTTTATTATTGTTTTATTGTATTTTATTACGTGTTTTGTGTAAAGTGACCTTGGGTGTCCTGAAAGGCGCTTTGAAATAAAATGTATTATTATTATTATTATTACAAGTACTAAATACTACAAAGCAGTTTGTGGGTGGTTGTTTCATTCAGACGCCTTGCAGAGCTACAGAGATGAAGTAGGAACAGAAACATCTTTGTTCAACATTTTCCTCAGCCAGACTCCTCTCAGCTCAGTGACCTAGTGGTAGTGTCCCCGTCCTGGGACTTGGTCGGGTCATACCAAAGGCTTTAACAATGGGACTTGGGGGGTTAGACCACCAGATGGTTTCAGAGCGCGGCCACAGCTGCAGCTCCATGATGATGGGTCAGATGTGGAGATGAATGTCATCAGCGTGTGATGATGACTATGGGACTAACTTTTCCATTCTTAAACCTCTTTTTCCACACACACACACACACACACACACACACACACACCCACACACACACACACACACGCAAACGCCACCAAAAACAGCACCAGCATGAAAAATGTTCATGCAGGCAAATAGATGAAGACGATGTTAACTGGAGAACGTCCTGCTGGCAGAGCAGCGATCTCCGTGAGTGTGGGATGAACGGAGCCAGTTTATAGATCGTTGGGTCTGTTTGGCGTCATCTGCAGTGATGCCTGCATATGAGCTAGGTTCTCGGTAATCCGTTCCCACACTTTAGAACTTTTAGCCCTTTGTTCCACTTACCACACCAGGATGCTGTTTAAAGGTCAGCATGCCCTTGTTTCCTGCTCTCCAGCTGAGCTGTGAGATGTTTAGAGATCTTTGAATGACTTAGTGCTGTTGGGCTCAGCCTTGGGTGCTCCTTTATTTTGATTCCTTTATAATTCACTTGCTTCTGTTAAAATGTGCTGGCTTCATGCAGACGAGATTCAGGGAGAATGTTTTTGGACCAGAATCCTCATGAATGACTCGTCAAATCCTCCTCTGCTCTCCTCTCTCAACAGTTTCTAGAGGTCGTCGTCTTTTGCTTCCTGCTCTATCTGTACAAGAGGAGAAACGTGAAGCACATCATTGTTGTGATGCTGCTGGTGGCCCTGCTCGGTAAGAACAGGCGGAAGCTGCCTGAAACGGGGCAGAGGTTACGGATTTAGCTATTTTAGGTAGTCAGAGGTTGTCTTGTTGCCAGGCTACCAAAATGGCCCTCTGCTACCATTACTGTTAAGAGATGCATATAAAAACTCCTACTCAACTTTGAAAAGCAGGAGGGGACATTCTTCCCTCCTGTAAGTAGTTTGGATGTTGTTGCAGCTTCTCTCACAGTCATCTCCGTCAAAGCCGTGTCGGGGATGATCACAGAGACCATAAAGGGCCAGCTGCAGCTCATCTACCCCATCTTCTACGTCATGCTCGTCGTCATGGTGACCTCCTGCGCATTCCAGATCAAGTTAGTCAAGGTTTTCTCCCTCAGCCTTTGTGTACTTCCGCTCTTTAATTCACTGGCTTGTTTGAGTAAACTTGCTTTGTTGCCACTGGAAGCTTTAAACTCATCTGCAGCACATCCACAGGGCTTCTTCTGTCACCAGCTTGTCTTTTGAATCTCTTTCTCTTTTTCAGATTTCTCAATCAGGCAATGAAAATGTTTGATGCTACAGAGGTGGTTCCTATCAACTTTGTGTTCTTCACGGCGAGTGCTGTCGTGGCAGGTATTTAACCCCCACCCTGTTCTGTCTGAGCTAACCCAACGGTGTTTGCCATCAAGCATTCATCTTTGGCTGAAAGTCCCAAACTGTGTGTGAATGGGAGGATGACTGATTGTGCTGTAAAGCACCTTGGGTTGGTTATAGTACAGGCCATTTAAATGTTTGAGTAGGGAAACATAACCAGCTCTAACTAGAGGCAACATTTCATCGTCAAAATGATGCAGTTAAAACGGTTTTCCCCAACTTTGGATGAAGGGACCGAAGATCCTCGTCAGTCGGTGTGAACGGGGTGACCCTGAGCCGCTGAAGCCCGGTTCACACGGTGGGATTATTATGCCTATTCTGACCCTAGGGTTGGGGTTAGAAGCACGTGATTACTGTAACGCAGGGGTGTCCAACCTTTTGGAGACTGAAGACTTTCCTAAAGCGGGCTAGTGCCGGATAGCTAGGACATCATTTAACAACTCTGGGGTTTGATGGACACTGATCACACGTTGTTGAACAGCGAAGACCGTGTTGAGCCCTCTCGCATAAAACACTCAATGTCCTAAGCTTAATGAGAAACATTCAGAATTGATGTTTTCCACAAGTGGACGTCGCTTGGTTTTTGCTCTAATTTATACCAGAAACACGCGTAACATGTTCGTTTCCCATGTTTGCACTCAGTGAAATTAAAAGTCAAAGAAATAATAAAACGTGCCGATTGGGAATCCTACTTCATGTGTGTGAATTATATTTTATCTCAACATAATCCATTTTACAGAATAAAACTCGGTCCAAACATTTACCCGATGTCGGGAGCGAACCTTTCCTCAGGCTCAGATTACAGATTATAAGAAAACTACAAAAAAGGATTTTTGAAGCAGTTTAGTTCAGAAGAAAAGCACTTTTCTAACCCCTCTGGTGGAGGAGGGGCTCCTCTTGTCTCTCACACTTGTGCCATCATGTCACCGTTTCCAGTATTTACCTTTATTTTACCAGATGAGTGGACTGAGAACTCGGTCTCATTTACGACGACGATCTGGCCCAGAGGCAGCAGCAACAGACACGTAGTTAGCTTTACACCAAAGAACAACAGGTAAGATAAAATCATACAAGATAAAAATCAATTAGACATAAAGACAAAGGACTGTTCTCATATATAATATGTACAAGCAATCAGAACAGACTAAAACAGTCTTTAATACTCAGAAGCAGGAGCATTGATCAGAAACTACTGATCACCTTGAATTATTGAAGGTAGATAATGGAATGTAGTGTAGAGTATCAATAGTTACATCTTATGTAGGAAACCATCAAAGGTGAGATTCCATAGAAAATATGGAATCAATTTGATGTATCTTTGAATACTACCTGTAAACAGAAGATCGGAACTTTTTATTGCAGGGATTAGGTAACACTTCGTAATAACCCAGAGTCAAAAAGAGAGGGAGAGACAAGTTTAAAAGTTTAAGAAGATTTATTTCTAAACAATTTAAAACAAGGCTAACTCTAACTTTAAACACTCTGTGATGAATGGATCTAGTTGTGAATGAGGCAAGATGGATGGTGTAAATGTGGAGTGTTGTTATCAGAACTCTCGTTTCCAGAATGGTTTGCTCTAAACTATAGTTGGAGTTTCAAAAACCACATTCAGACGCTATCTTGCCGTTCTACATACCCTTGATGGAGACCTCCATGTAGATCCAGAATGCCAGGTCCTCTGACCCCCATTTGGTACCGAAACCGATGAAACAGCGTACGGTATGACAGACTAGTCTTGGGATTGCCTCCAGGTAAGCGGCAGTTGGTTGACAGCGTCAGCGAGTTCAGCTTTTACGCTGAAGGAGCGTTGCTTCAGGTGGAGCTTGCAACAGGTTTATTTTCCAGCTTAGCGTTAGGTTCTTTGTGGTTAAAAAGTTATGAGTGGCTGGCTCGCAACTCTAGAACGTTTGAACTGAACTAAGGATGACGTGGGAATTAGTTTTACACCTCACACATCACGCCACACGTCAGAAAGGAAAGCTGATTGGAGAGACAAAGGAATGTGTCATGTGATTAACATTACGTGTAATCAGTCTAGTGTGTAGTTTAAAAGTTATATTACTTATTAAAATACTATCATAGGATTCTAATATCAAGTAATTAATATTCTCATTTCACAGATTGAGTTAACATTGAGTTTTACATGATTCTTTGGACTAACACAGGTATTTGATCATTATTTAATAGAGAAAGAGTTTTTGGTCTTCTTTCTTCTCTTGAGCTGTAGGGGGGGGGGGGGGGGGAATAGCTGGTTAAAACAGTTTAGATGCAGGGGCATCAAAAGGCCTTGAGCATATCTGAAGGAGATTAGTTCTTCCTGAGGAGAAAGGACCTTTAGGTCAGAAAACAGTTCCTTCATGACGCTACAGTAGGCAGTGAGCTTCAGTGGTTTCTGCAGCTCATTCCAGTCGTGGGAAGCAGCAAACTGGAATGAGGAGAGGCCAAAGGAGGTGCGAGCTTTGGGAATAACCACAGAGATGAAGTTACTGGAACCTAAATGGTGCTGGTTGTTGGGACTGAGTAATGAGAGAAGATATGATGGGTTAGGGTAATCTAACATCCTGCAGGAATGGAGGGATCACCAGTTAAAAAGTGAGTACAGATCACAATGATGAGTAGTGAAAGGGGCACCAGTGACCAAACGGGTTGCTGAGTGATAAATGGCATTGAGTTTATGAAGAAGTTTTTAGAAGCAGTCCTATAAATGGTGTCACCGTAATCTAAGATGGAAGGATTGTCATTAGGACAGTAACGAGTCAGTCGACGCTGACCGATGTCGCTACCATCCCGATCAGCTGAAGCTGCTGGTTTTCTGAGTGAAACGTGCCTTCAGGGTAGCCGATTTCCCACAATCCCTCTGGAATGCGATCACAGAAGAAGCACAAGATGTGGTGTTGGGAGTTTCTCACCTTGTGTGAAAGAGCTTTGTATTACTATCGCTCCATCTGCCCACGCACATAACACACAATTGACTCAGCAGAGCAACAAATTGCAGATGTATTATATCAGCGGAGGAAGAACATTTGTGGGTGGATTTCTCTCAAGATTAGTGTTTTTGATTCAACCTGCCAGCGGCTGCAGCTGATCATCTGGATAGAGCAGAGCACAGAGTTCTGTTCTGTGTTGGGTTAAATCCAGAGAAGACGGCTCTGGCTGAACGACACAAATGTGATTGTCCCAAACCTCACTGCTTCGGTCTTTATGATGGAAGAGTGATCGCATAAGCTCCTCTTGGGCTCCGTGATCTCCCGTCAGAACCTACTCGCCCGTATTTCCTGGGACCTGCTCCCATGATGTTAGACACCGGCTGTTTCCCTAGATGAGTTGTTCCTCTTCGGGGCCTCCAGCTGTGATTAGGGCCGGTGCTTTTTAGCTAAAGTTAGACTTTCTTCTCCGCAGTGACTTGGAGGTAAACTATCCACACCTTTTTCAGTTCATGTTAGGATTACCGTAGTGTCCTCATCGGACCACCTCAGACCCGATGGCCTGGAGTCGAGAAGCAGCCACTTCTCTCTCGGAAAACCATCAGGGACAGACTGGTGTTCTGCTACAGCTCCAGGGATTGGACCGCTGGAGGAATTCCTTTTCTCTAATGAGGCATCGTTCCCAGGCCAGCTGAGAGACATAGTCCCTCCAGCATGTCCTGGTTCTTCCTTTGGGTCTCCTCCAGGTTGGACGTGCCCAGAAAACCTCACCAGGAGGCATCCTAACTAGAGGACAAACCCTAACCCTCCAAATGTTGATGAAGACCGAGCTCCATCAGCCAGGGTAAACTACAGAGGCCTAGAAGGACCAGCTCTGACCCTTTGAATGAACTTTGTTAGAATCTGTGAAGGGCAATGTGAACAAAAGCTTCTGACCTGGACCTACGTACCCCGACCCAAACGGGTTGCTACTCCAGACCTAAAAGCCTTTTATTAATGCGCCGTTTTGTGTTGCAGGGATCGTTTTCTACCAGGAATTTGAGGGCTTGGCTTTACTGAATATATTTATGTTCTTATTTGGGTAAGTCCCCTCCCTCCCTGCAGCTCCTAATTAAATCTGTGCATGGTGGTGATGATTGTCCCTGGATGTCCTCCAGCTGTCTCCTGTCCTTTGTTGGAGTTTTCCTGATAGCTCAAAACAGACCCAAGGTAAAGCAGCTAAGTCAGAATTTTATCTGCATGGACAGAGTTCCAGGTAGGTTTTGTTGTTCTGCTGTTGGTGGACAGCCACCTGGAAGTGGGTCTGTTTAATGAGCCGTGCTGTCCGTGTTCACAGGGAGAAGTCACACGGACCAAGTGCAGCCGGAGGCTAAGACTCGGACATGCGGATCGCTGGGGGCCAACCTCCTGTGCAACAGAGCCGGCCAAACAGACGATCCCTAGGACCAGCTGCGCCTGTCGGGCTGCTGCTGCTGCTTTAGCTCTGGTCCAGCAGAGTGGTATAGAGACAGACGTGTTTTCTGGTCTCTACCTGGTTAACTCTCCTCATGAGGGAACAGAAGACTCATCTCCTCCAGATGAAACTGCAGAATCAAAAACTTGTATTTTTAGGACAAGGTTACGTTTTAATCTGACAGAATAAACTGGTCTGAGTGCAGAAGGTGGTGAGGTCTCTGTCCTCATGTAGAAGACTACTGCCCCCTACAGGTCAGACAGGGACACTGTTGATCTGGTCTTAGATCCACTTCACTTAAAACGACTAAAGGTCTGCAGGACTGTCTAACCTGTTCAGAGCCACTAACACTCCAACTTCACATTTGTCCTTCAAGTCCACGAACGCTCGTCTCCTAACTCATCTTAGTGTGTGGCTGCACCGCCCATCTGTAGTGTTGCCAAGCAACAAACACTATCTGCCACCTACACATTATGGGATGTGTGGGAAACCACAGCTCAACACAGACCGCTGCTGGATGCTTTCAGGAGCAACAGACACGTTCACCAAATGTTCTTTATTTGTTCAGAAAAAGCAACACTGAGGATCCGAAGCAGACGAGCATCATTTAAAAATGTCTCCCCGTGACTTCTCAGTGGAAAGCAAATCTGCATGATTGCAAAGTTTTGAAAGCAAAAGCCTATGTGTGTTTCCATCAGCAGCAGAATAACCCTAACCCTGCTTTATCACACCTCAACGTTGACCTTAGCAAAGCGGTAGTGCAGGGAGCCGGGGTTGCGCAGAAGCAGCGTTCCTCGGTGTTCCCCCGCCTGCTTCAGGAGGGTGTTCAGGAGACCCGGGACACTGACGAAGCCCAGAGCCTCCCCATGGCCTGCACACAGAGAGAAGTCCCCCTGAGTGGTCCAGCCCAGGGTCACGCGGGAACAGTGGGACGTCACGCTGGGTAGAGGATCCGGCCAAAGTCCGAAGATGAGGTCTGAGTCAGGCGTAGAGCGGGGCTCTGGATCGTCACTCTTCAAGCTTTTTTTCTGTGGTTTGATTCTGCTTTTGAAGTGGTCCCTGTGTGGGGGCTCCTGGAGGTCTTGGTGCTTGCCCAGCAGCTTCAGATCTTCTGCAGTTGGCACACACACCATGGAATGGAGCTCCGGTCTTCCCTTGGACAGCAGCGACAGGCGCACCCACACCAGACTCATCCCATGAGCTGAGAGAAAAGAAGTGACGGCCGACTGGCTGAGAGGCAGGAGCTCACGGTTCAGCCTCCTTCCTGTGGAGGTGGTTGGTCTGCACCAACCAGAGAGAAGCCTCAGAGACTTCCTGTTCCTGGGAGAGAAATAAAACAGCAAACTTAGAGTAGGTGTTGAGCCTCCTGATGGGGAGGTGACTTCTGCAGGAGCAGCTCCTGGTGGTCACTGACATGACTCATCAGGGACATGAAGAGAGGGTGGTGGTGGTGACTGTAGTCCTGGGTCTGAACACAAGGACTAATGCTGCTTTCACATCTGGGCCGGCCCGGTCTAGGCAATGTGGGTTCCGGCCTGGATGGGAACAGCCTTCTCAAGAACGCAGAGATCCTTAAGTGACCAAGGTCGCCTGAGGTCTGTGGTGCTGTGGAGGCTCTTGTGCTGCTGCAGTCAGAGCAGATGTTTCCTCCGCAGCACCCAGCATGAGGAAGCCCCGCTGGCAGATCGGAGGTTCTCTCTAAAGGTAGGCATGAATTTCAGCCAGCCAATCAGCCCCAGCGGGTGTGCAGGGTCACCTCAGCACCAGCCGGACCTCAGAGGCTACCAGCCAGATGTGAAAGCGCTCCAGCTGCTGGGGTGTGACTCGGGTGTTGGAGAGAGTAAAATAAAACCAGAACAAAGACAAACCGTTACCTGAGAACAATAAAGAGGCTCAGAGGCTTCGCCACAGACATCTCGGCCGGCTCATCTCCTCCTCCCCTAGTGAGGTGCTCCCACTCCTCTGCCAGCTGTTGCCAAGGGCAACGGAAGGGAGCCAGGCAGCCATGTTTAATGTAATTGGTCCTTTTGGCTGGCGGATGCCTGGGGGAGAGGTTAGAGAATCATACCTTGTCAAACCGACGGGGAAACCCCACCAAGAGACTATGGAAATGATCTAGATAAACCTAACCCCACAGTCAGGTCTGGGTAAGGCCAACTAACCCTAGCCCACTCTGTCCTCGGCTGACCTTTTAAATTTGTCCAGGAACTCTGCTTCCTGCTCCTCCTGAAAACGGATTCCTGCAGGGCAGTCAGGAAAGTCATGTGGAAAGATGGGAGCTGCTTTACTGTGAGAGTGCTTCAGACCCATGTGGAGCCCTGCCACCCGGACTCCTCTGTACACCTGCAGGGGGGACAATTGGATTTTCAGCTCCAGCATCATTTAATAAACAGAATCCATCTAAACCAGTTTGGCTCCGTGTGAGGGTCTCCCATCACCATGGAGCAGGGTTCTCCAGCAGGAACGGCTCGTTTAGGGTCAAACGTTCTCCTTCAGGGTGTTCTGCTACTTTGCAGCTGTGACGCACAGCAGCTCCAGACCATCACCCTGCCACCACCATGTCTGACTGCTGCTGTGATGTTTCAGTTCTCGCTGGCCTAGTTTGGTTTGGACAGCGTTTCTTTCACTAATTAAATCATGTGACACCATCTCTTGTATTTACTCTATTTATGCTGTTGATCTGAAACACTGAAGGACTGTGACAAAAGTCAGACCTGAAGAAACCTCTAAGGTGTTCTACAGAATAGAATACATATGAGAGAGAGGGGCTGAGCGTTACGGTTATTTGTTTGTCTGTGAGTTAGTTTGTTAACGACAGATACTTTACACATTACGCTCAGAGAACATCTCGGAGGTACAATCAGGAAAACATCCATCAGGGCATCCGAGCATTCTCTCTCACTTTCTCCGCCTCTCGCCGCCGGGGTGCACAAGCGGCACGCTGAGGAGCTCGGAGAGCATCTGTGACGCACTCAACGTCGACACAACAGCGCGGTGTCGAGCGAAAAGTGCAAACCCTTCTGGTTATTTCATTTGGAGAAAATAGCTTGTCGTTATTCAGCACCTGCTACAAGTGTGTCAGCGGAGCGCGGATCCATCCATGAGCCTGAAGGCAAAAGGCCAGAACCCCGTGACCTCCTCAGCAAGCTCCCTACAGACATCTGATTACACACAAGCTGCAGGTGGGCGGAGCAGGAGGGATGTGCGTTCGGGTCAGATGTTCCTACTTTAACTGAAATCGTTTATATGGGACACTCTGCTCAGCTTGTTTACACTAAACATTAATATAGTTTACGCGAAGGGGATAAGTGGATCATGTGACTTCTGCTGCGTCTAAATGCAGCAGGGATTCATTTCCTGCTCGCTCATCAAGAAACCCGCTAGCCTGCTTAAATAAAACCCCACAACGGCGGGCCCCGCAGGGAAACGGGCCGTTCACACGTCACGCTACCAAACTGCAAACTGAACTAAATGAAAGGTCTAACTTTCTCTTCCAGCAAGCACACGCGCTGCACTTCCATAAAACATACCAGCGTTTGCAAATCAGTCCGTGCATCATGACGTCACGTGTACGATTTCATCGCCCATCACCATTTATAGGACTGACTGGTGGTGGGAAAAACTACAAATGGTCCAACCCTGGAAGCCACTGCTGAAGACTCATTGATTTAATCTTAAACACCTGACATTTCTACTCAGCTTAAAACTAATGCAGACTGCTTCTTTTTCATTACTTCATAGCAATGACTTATTTTTATGAATGGAGAAAAACATCAACTGTTGAAAATATGTTGAGTCAGCTTAAAGAACACCACCTAGTCACAGCTCCTCGACTCCTGACTAGGAGAAAACACAATCACGTAGGACGTCTTGGGACATCTGGTTAGTGGGACCTACCAGTGGGATCCAGAAGGCCATACCCCAGCCTTTAGGAAGGAGCAGGTCCCATCCAGCTCCCCAGGAGCTCATCTCCTGCCCCACCTGCTTGCCAGGCTGGTGGACCAGTAAAACGGGGACTCTGCCTTGTGGGGGGGTGGGGCTCAGCCTGGAGCCTGGCACCAGCATCTCACTCTTCATCCTGTTCAATGCCTTTAGATACGAGACATTTCAGGTAGGAGCACACCAGCACATGGTTAGGACGCTTCTGATGTTACCTGCTCAGGTATCTTGTTCTCAGTGACATCATCACGGACAGACTCCTCCCACAAGGAACTCTGACAGCACTGTTCTGGGACACCTCGTAAGATCAGCTCCTTCCTTTTGTCCTCATCAGCCTCTGAAGACACACACACGTCGTGTTTTTGTGTTCGTACGTATCGGAGCACTAGAGGTGTGAATCTTCACTAGTCTCACGAATGGATTACGACCAACAGGTCAACCACTCCATCCAATATGCATCAAGATGATTTCAGATGGATTGTTTTCCTTGATAAATGGAGGATATGAGAAGACACAAGACTCCGCCCCCAAAAGGACAACAGCCCTGAGGACACAAACCCTTTTAAACATTCTAGAAGATCTAAAGCATTTCCTCACCCAACATCTCCGGCTGCTACCCTAACAAACTCACCCTGCAGGACACATCCAACTCAAGTCCTTCACTTGTGTTCATGAATCCATAATTCAACAGCTTTGTGCTTCTGAGCTGCTTCAGTCACACATTCATGCAGCAAATCAAAGGTGTAAGAAATGAAACGTTCTGTTTGATGGAGAAAATTATAAAACATTAGAAATCTCGAACTTCCAATAATGAGAGGTTGTTTTAAAGTGCTGTGGGCTGGATTAGGATTAAATCACCCAGTTGATGATCTCCTTCACTAACCTGCCCTGTGGGACTTTTATTATCTCCTCATGTCCTGGTGTCTCTGGAGGATCAGATGGGAACCAAGCTACTTAAAATGAACCAAGACTTCCTCCCAGTTGAATTCATCATCATGAAAAAAAAAAATCAAGTAGATCTTCCATTTCTCTTCGACCCTCTCCTGTAAACTTCTCCGTGTCCGGTTAACCCTAACCCTCTCAGTTGTGTCTTAGGGGGGCTGGGGAGCAGTAAAGAGAAACAGTTCCACATAAAACCAGGAACCGTAAGGTAACAGACTGGATGTTCCGTTCTGGAGGTGGGCACATTCAAATCCATGTCGTAACCCTACTTTGATGACCTGACGTTCAGATTTAGAAAAAGGGCCACAAGTTTGTCCTTAAAGACGACAGTAAGACATCCACCACCACATCCTGGGTGTTGTGTGGTAGACACACACCCGTTTCATGAAAAGGCTCAAAATTAGCCGAGTTTCAGTAAGAAATGAAGATCTTAAAAGCCCTCTCTGATGAACAGCTCCTTTGGGTTACATTAGGGCTGCAACAAATGATTATTTGGATAATCGATGAATCGGATGGGGTCTCGACACGATTAATCGATTAATCGGATTACATGGGGAAATTTTTTAAAACTGCTAGGGAAACGTTATTTCTCTCCTTCCTTCACTTTATTTAACACAACATTATTAGAAAACAGTTCAATAGCAGAAAAACAACATGCCATCACCTAAATTGTCTCATAAGGTGTATAGACAGAGACCCTAAGCTACATCTATCTGTGACCTAAAATGCTTGGTCCAAGTTAAACAGCTTAAGGGCAATTCTCATCTGTTTTGTTTGATCTCATCTGTTGACATTTATTATAACTGGGGATGTCAAACAACTAATTTTTAAATGTAATTAAACATTGGCTGTGAATTAATCAAAATTAATCACTATTTCCAAAAATGACTGAAAAAATACCAAATAAAACAAAAGTAAATGAATGCCATCCTCCTTGTGATGATGCCCTGGGCAACTGCCATAAAGTCACATCAAGAAATGCTGCTGATCATTCCAATGATCCCAAATAGACTCACATTAGGCCACATGAAAGCAACTGAACCCAAAAATATATTAACCAGTATATAACTGCACTCTCACACAACACGCCTGCAGCAAGCGTTTTTGCTTCTGAGGACATTGTGGTTGTAAAACCACATGCTAGTAGTCTGGCCCCGGTGTGATCAACCAGTTTCTGCGGGAATGTGACGGCGGAACCAGGGCCAGATTAACACTTTGTTGTACCCTGGGCAACAATATTCAAGGGCTCCATCATCACGACCCGAGGATCACCATAATGTGGTCACATACAGAATATTTTACTGTAATATGCAGTAAATGTACTCAATACTTGAATGCCTGACAACACGTAACCTGCCCAGAGTAACCTTTGACCCACCTCGTGTGGACTGACCAATGAGGAGAGGGTCTTAACTTGAGGCCCTCTCTTCATTGGTCAGTCTGCATGAGACTGACTCTCAACTGACGTTCAGTCATAGGCAGCGAAGCGTCTCTGTGCAGCGCAAAAGCCCGGGTGGACAGTTTGTTTAATATAGGGTGACCATATTTCCATTTCCAAACAAGAGGACAGGGGATCTGTGCCTATGACGTCACACTATGGCAACGCCACACAAACCATGTTGGGACCCATTTTTTGTAAGAACTAAATTAATATCAGATTCTGCCAATAAAAGGGCTCTAAAACAATTCATATGTAAATATTTTGCATATTTAATGCAAAATCTCATTTTTCTGCTTTAGTGCTGCAACAAGGTTTTATTAATAAGAAATTATTATACCTTTTGTTTTACTACAGCATTGGTAAGCTTTCTGTGCACAGATTATTAAGGATGCTTGTTTCAGCTGTGAGATTAGACGATAGGATCAATGAAAAAATAAGTTGTCCCACACTCCATGGAAACTTTCAGAGAATCCACAAATAGTGGCTTTCACATGGTTTTGTTACTTTTTGCAAGTTTAGAAAAGCAGCAGATGAGACAGCATGTCTGATAATTTAGTTTTTCATGTGATAATATTAGAACATGTCAGTAATGTCTGAGGGGCTTTTATAAACACTGTATAACTAACACTACTGGAGAGGGTATGGATTACACAGAGGCTTCTGGGGAGCCCAGTTATGGTGGTGGTGGTGGTGGGGGTGGGGGGGGGGGGGGCATTTTGCCCTGGCCCCCAAAATGTCTTGAAACGGCCCTGGGTGTGTGACTGAGTTTTGAAGGTGATCTGAATTGTATCAGATGTATAAATATTACATGTGTTTAACTTATTGTTTTTTACTGGTAAAAACGTGTAGTGGAGATAAATCTACCTAAATTTTACTTTTCAACACTTTGTTTTGTTTTCTTGTTTTTATTTAACTATTTTCCTGTCCTGTCTGTCTCTCATCTTCCTGCATCTCCTATAAACTCTCCAGAAAATCTGTTGCCTGGATTCTTACCTTTTCACCTCATCAGTTACTTTTGAGCAGATCAAAGGGATCTCCTGACCGCAAAGCGCAGAGCGCGTTTTCGATGCTGCATGAGGTGACATCACCACAGCACAGGTGATGAGCTCCGCAGTAGCGCGCTTCAGGCACAAATAAGACAGAAAATAGAGAACATGTGTGGACATGAACGATCGTGTGCTAATTATAGTTGTTTGGTTGCGCCACTTTGAGAATGGACCGTGCGCTGGAAGCAGCTGCCTGGATCGTTGCGCAACAACGCGCTGTACCGCTCTCTGCTCAAGAGTCCAAAAATGATATAATATAGAAAACTTTTTTCCGGCTCCCTGGATGTGTAGGATATACAGCTCCCCCATAATTCGATCCCTGCTCCTGGATGAAAAGCCAGACATTTTCATCAATACAAGAACCCGCAGTCCGGACGCCCGGACAGAGAGTGAAAAGTGGACAAGTCCGGGGAAAACGGAACGTACGGTCACCATAGTCCTCATGAAGGGGAAATTATAGATACAGTTTTGTGCTCGTGCCCTGGGCCCTTTAGAGTTCGTGGGCCCTGGGCAATTGCCCAGTTAATCCGGCCTTGGGCGGAACCGGTTCGCAGCAGCGTGAACCTTGCGCTGATTTGCCGGCTCTCCCTCGCGCTGATCTGCCGGCTCTCCCTCGCGCTGATCTGACTTGCTCTGTGCGCAACGGCGGGCGGGAAGGGGGCGCGCTTTTGGGAGAGTTGTGCGACACAATGAATCGATGACGCAATTCGTTGCCAACGCTTTTAGTAATCGATTTTCATCGAATTTATCGATTCGTTGTTGCAGCCCTAGGTTACATACAAGCAGTCAGCTGCTGTCAGTCCCTGAGGTTGTGTCTGGAGTACTGGGTCCTGCCAGGATTTGAACCTGGAACATCTGCATGGCCAGGCAGAGCCCCCCCCAGGAGTACAGAACCAGATGTGTTCTCACTGAAACAACCTCCAGACTGAAACCAGCTCCCGAGTAGCTCTAATATTCAGCTGGATAATGTGGGATGAGAAACCCACTCCTGTAAGGTGTACCTTGGGCCTGGCTCACGCAGGGCAACACTTTCATCTTCTTTGTTGGTAAAGTCAGCCTGGGGTCATCCACCGTCAGCCCCAGCACTGTGCCGGGGGGGAGCTCTGTGGTTGAACTGATGCCTGGCAGAATTACACAAACAAGCGTGAGTTGAGTCTACAAGCTGGCAAACACACGGGGGCGGCTGACCTTTCAGTGTGTGGAAGACATCAGCTTGCTGCTGATGCAGAAGCATGTTGCTCTCATCGCTGCAGTGCTGAGGCCACCAGAAGGCAGAGCCCAAGGACTTATCCACTTCCTTAGAAGAATAGAACAAAATGCACATTCATCCAGAGTCTGCTGCAGAAGCTGCTGCAGCTGAAAGCCCACAGCTTACCTTACAGACCGTCGCTGCTTCAAGGGCTTCAGTCAGCACAGAGTGGGACTGTGGTCCAATCAGGCGATAGCGCACAATCTCCATGGTGAGGTCACTGCAGCACATTTATAAACACTTATGACGTCTTGCCTTTTCTGTTTCTGTCTGAATGAAACTTGAACCATCACTAACTTGATAACTATTCCGGTGGAGCTGGACTTCCAGGTTACTGTAGTTCCCGGTAATCTGGTCCCATCACCCAAAATCTTCTTCACAGGAGGCTCACTGGCATCCACAGAGCTCCTCTTCCTCTTGGCTCCAGGTTTCAGCTTTGCTTCCAGGATGTTTTCAGGCTTTGGATGTGGAGCGCTTTTCTCCTTTCCACACAAGACCTCGGGGTCAATGGAGGGCGGCACAGCCTCCCAACACCGGCATACACTTTGAAGTTCTGGGAGAAGATCCTGGGCACAGAATGGAAATCACTTATTGTACAGCTTTAAGAATCCTAATAAATAAACCCTGAGATTTTATGCTCTGTTTAATCCAGATATTACTGCTGCAGAGCCGACTTAGGCTACAGCATCTGCGCCAGAGAGGCCAAACGAGGACCCAAAAATGGCCAAAAGTCTAGTTTATATCAACAAAAAGGAACTATGCAGTAAAACTCACAACTAAATCAGATCACGAGTGGTAGCACACAAACTAAACTACAGAGACAGCAAGGTGCATGCAGCAGAAGAAACCATCGGGTCGTTTAAGGCTGGTATCGCTCATAGACACACAGCTAGTTGTTAGACCTTTTAGGGCAACGATGAGTTCACTAGCCTGGCTTCAACGTGATTCTACAAGAAATAAAACAGACATCAACAGGAAAACCAATCAGAGTGTTCCCAGTGGTTGTTACAGTAAGAAGTAGCAGGGACCTACACACATGCTTTTACAGGAAGAAAAAGCTTCTGCAAACCAGAAGAGTGGTTCTGATGGTGGAAGAGAGAGGAGCATACAAGGCAGGTGTTTCCACAAATTAAAGCTGGTGTAGCAGCAGCCCTACACATCATGGAGAAATAACCAGGCTGTACTGTGACTCACAAATACAACCTTTGTCTCCTAAAAACCCACCGTACCTGCTTAAGGGTGGGATGAGCCCAGATCCACAGCTGTCTCCCCCTGATCCCCGGTGTTTTGGGTCTCCAGAGTACGGTGACGGGACCCAGGGGCTGGCAGGGGTACTGTCCTATCCTGTAGATGGTAACACTGACCTGTCTGCGCCCTGACAGACACAAGGCTGCAGCAAACGTAGGACCTGGAAACAGACTCCAGCTTGTGACTCCACAACAAAAATCACCACAGAAAGCTGAGACCACAGGTCCACAGGTGGTTAGAGAAAACCCAGAAGGATGTGCTTACCCGCCTCCTTGCTGGTCATCTGTGACAGAGCAGCCAACAGCTCGTCTTCTTCACCCTTCAGCTCGATGCAGCAATAGTAAGACAGGTCCTGGTAGACAGATTCACACGGCTCGATACCTTCATAAACTAACTACAGAAACAAAAAAAGACAACAGCTACCTGCAGGAGGCAGTGGCTGCTCATGGCTCTGTAGCACGACCGATAGCATTTATACGTGGGTCTGTCCCCGAGGCAGTAGCCCCACTTTTTAACCATGTGGAAGCGCTTGGCGTGCCAAATGTGCGTCTCCAGCCAAATGTTCTTCCTCTGGCGTCGGTTGAAGTCCAGCAGCAGGTTCCCGTGCCGTCGGCGAGCTTTTCGGCTTTTGCTTTTAGCCGGTTCTTTCTTCTTCTTTGAGCCAGCCTGGAGGCTTTTCTCCCGCTGTGGTGGGCGGAACAGAAGGGGTAGTCTAGTCTAGGAAGGCAGCTTTTAAAGGAAAAACTAACAGAAAACAGGAAATGTCAGAAACCATTCTGTCAGCCACGTCTCTCAGCCTGCGGGGCAGACGCTTTGTGTTGTGGCTCATGGCCCGTCGCCTCATGTGTTTAGGCAGAGCCTGAAAAACATGGCTGCTGCACGCCGTCTGGCTGACGGCTCTCAGCATGGCCTTCACCTCGGCGGCTCTGGCTCTGGCAAAAGCTCCACCTTGACAAAGAGAAAGATGGACGAAATGCATTAGTTTTAGCAGAAGCACGGTACAGTGGGAGCTTAGAAAGAGTATGTCGGGCTCTGCTTTCACCAGTGATGTACTTGGGCATCTCCTTAGAATAACCACCACCATATCTCTGATGTCCTCGAACCCATCCAGTGTCTTCAGGTTTCTTCCTCTCCTTAGAGGATGGATGTCCACCTTTTGAGAATTTCCAGAACTTTCAGAGTCAGCACATCCAGCAAGTTAGAACAAAGCTTAACTTTTCCCATATGATTTTTATTCTTGTGAAGCGCCTCATGACTTTTGTCTTGAGAGGAGCTGGATTAAAGATGGTTTCTTCTCCTGCCTAAACGAGTACACACGTGTCTGATTCTTGTAGTTTCTCACCACCAGGGTGAGCTTAGGGCACATCAGCTGGGTGTGGGCACCATCAGAGCAAGCAACTACGCATCACACCACTGGCTCATCCCTTGAGTTCAGGAGCATTTGTAATGTCTGGGCGATTCATTGGGGAGGTGTAAGTGATACAGTTGACTTAGCTAAACAGAACTAAGTGTCTCAGTAAATAACAACAAATACAAGAAAATGCTCTTGGGAAAAGGTCACACTGAGAAGTTTAGACTGGCAGCTTGTGAAGCATGTGGTGATGACAGCTCTGAACCAAAGTAACACCTCTACCCCCTTATCCATCTGGAGATGCTTTAGATGACCTGGGACGGATATTTAACGTGAGTTGCACAGATGTGGTATAAAGATGAACACCCGTGGCCCCTTCTCTGAGCCACCATGCTAGCTGCTGCCCTGCACACAGACCGGTTACCTGAACCATGTCCTCTGTTCTGGGAGCCGCCCTCCCCGTTCACCCCAGAGGGATACTGAACACTGGCAGGCTGATTCCTCATCTTCTTCTCTCGCATTTTGGCTTTAGCTGCGGACATTTTCTGTAGAAAGAAGAAGGAAACGCTGTTTTAGCACCACAGCTGGAACCACAAACACATACAAGACGGTGACTGTTATGCTAGCAACAAACCCTCGTACAAAGTTGTAACACCGAACCTTAAATAAAACACGTCTAAGCTACAAGTACATATAAATTATTCATACCAGTAGTGCCTCGCTGTTTTCCAATAAGATTAGCAACACGTTTCTTGGACGCTCTCTTCTCTCTGTTAGCTAGCTACCATGTGAGTTTGCTTCATGCGAGTCCGTCTCACAGGCTCATGGGAAATGTAGTGTACAAACGCAATGAGCGTTCGTCTTCAGACCGAGCTTCAGACCTAGATTTACTCCATACATTTCAATTATGTATATACACGACTAAAAACCAGAGTATGCGGTGTTTGTGTTGCAACTATCATTAATACCCATATTAACATGGTAAAATAAAAACTACATGATTGTTTGTGCGTGTGTATCAGAATGTTTACGGTAACGGAAGTCTGTTGGTCTCGTGTCGTCAGCTGTGAGTTTAGTCTGACCAGAGAAATGTCTGCTGTGATCAGGAGAATCATCAGCACCGCTAAAGCTCCTGCTGCCATCGGCCCATACAGGTGAGAGGAGTCTGATGGACCAGCCGTGGACCTGGGCTGAGGTGGGACAGGATGAGTCATGTCTTCTAGGGGACAGTCAGTGGAGTGTCTAGGCTTTAGAAAGGGTGGCCCAGGTGGGGCACCTGTTAATGCATGGGTGGCACCCAAAGTTCTGTTTCGTTCCCCCCTGACTGCCAGTGGCAGTAAACAGAGTGGATGTATCTCCTCGCGCTCTGCGCAGGTCGAGTACTAATGTAAACAAAGTCACGCACGTGACACGTAGCGCACCTGGTCGCGAGTCTATAAATTACGCGCCGATAGCTACGTTCGGGTCTCTTTGATCTTCTCGCTGTTGGCCTGGCGTGCTTCGCTGGTCAATCGCTCCGTAACCCCCAAATTCCACTACCTCCGCTCCGCTGCGCTCCGCTCCGACACGAACGCCGGAGCAAAATCGGTCCCGTTCTAGTCAATCAGAGCAATTCCACTACTGCGGCCGTGCTCCGGCAGTGCGGCGCCGTGCGGCGCCCTCTGTTCCGGCGTCCGGCAAAAATAGAATCGATCCTATTTTTGCCGGACGCCGGAGCACCTCCGCAGTAAATGGACAGAAATCACAACGGCCCAACAGGAAAAGGAGCAAGCACATCTTCCGTTTTTCACAATAAATCGCTAAACAAAAGGCGTTTTTTGTTTCATATGCACAGGTTTAACAACTTTTAACAACTATCAATGGCGGCTGAAGTTTAAATGCACAAAAATAAGCCATAAATACAGTTGCCACTATCAAAGTAGTCACACTTTGTTGATCCAAACACTGCTGATCTCTCAACACAATGATGGGCAGATTAAACAGCTCATTTCCGATGCTTCTCCCGCACAACAGGTGTTTGGATCTAACTTCCGCGTTTATTGCTCGGACTGTATCGCAAGATCTCGAAAATCCCGCGCATGCTTGTTTGCCCCCCTCAGGTCTCCGCACCGGAGCGGAGCCGTTGTAAGAGCGGGTACCAGTAAAAATTGAGTTCGGAAGCGAGCGGCTGCGGAAGGCGGGGGCGGACCGGAGCGGAGGTAGTGGAATTTGGGGGTAAGTCCGTGATTCGGATCTTATCGGTCTTGAGAGGTGAGTACTGTTTTTACTTGGCGTCTTCCTGCCCGGGACCGTGTGGTCGGAGCGCTCGAAGGAGCCCTCTGGGGCGGTGGATTGACGCTGTTATTTATCTGCTAATTGTTACCGAGTGCGGGTGGTGCGGCCGGCCGGCGCCGTTCGGACCGCCGCTGCCGGCTCGGATAGGGCTCGCTGGCGGTCGCAGGTTTTCCCCTGTGGAAAGGGGAGGTGAGTGCGGCCGGCGAGCGCTACAGGTAAGTGGGGCTGGACGTTCTGACAGTGGTGGTGGCACGCTCAGATTACCTAGCCGACACACACGCACTTGTGTTGTTTTACAACGCTACCGGTGAGTGGGGCTGGACGTTCTGACCGTGGTGGTGGCACGCTCAGATTACCTAGCCGACACACACGCACGTGTGTTATTTTACAACGCTACCGGTGAGTGGGGCTGGACGTTCTGACCGTGGTGGTGGCACGCTCAGATTACCTAGCCGACACACACGCACGTGTGTTGTTTTACAACTCCAGGACTGAATCGCGTTCTTCAGTTTTCCTCGAAGTCCTCGCTCAGTTCCTGTGGAGTCGCTGGCGTCTCCCACACCGGTAAGGATGTTGGAGTGTAAGTCATGCGGGGCTCCCCTCCAGGTGGAGGACAGCCACGACTTGTGTCCTAAGTGCCTGGGCATCGGTCACCTCAGAGAGGCGCTGACTGACCCGTGCATGAACTGCAGCATTTTGCCGCTGGCGGTGCGGGAGGACAGGCTATGTCAAGTAGAGTGCCTCCTGTTTGAGTCAGACCTGCCGCCCTCTGGTGTCCCTCGCCCGTGTTCCGGGAGACGGAGGGATAGACCGGCTGAGGAACGCGGCAGCCCGAGGCGCAAGAAGCGGCGTGTGGCGCAACCCTCTCGCCAGGAAGTGGACTCTTTGCAGGCGGAGGTGGAACAGCTCAAAGCGCTGCTGACCAGAGCCCCGGACGAGGGGGGCCCGGACGACCTGATCTCTGTGAGGGCCTCAAATTCTGAGTTTCAGTCCCTCGAGGAGGAGGGCCCCTCTCCTGGCTGTAGTCAGGGGCTGGTGATGGAGCCCCCGGGCCTGGGAGGTCACGGTGACTCGGGGATGTCTCTCCATAGCTCAGCAAGCTCGGAGCTGGCGGAGGACCCTTGTCAGTTGCGGGCGATTTTGCGAGCGGCACTGGCCAGGATTGGACTGGACGACGTGCCGGTGGCTCGTCCGGCGGGGAATCCCTTCTTCCGCCGGGCTCCGGCGGCGCCCCCGTTTCAGGTCCCACCATCGCCAGCCTTTGTGGAGGAGCTGCAGCGGTGCTGGGGGGACCCGAGACAGCTCTCCCACCATGGTAGGGATGCCAGGACCCTGGCATCGATGCGGGAGGCAGGAACCTACGGGTTGGACCGCATGCCCCCGGTGGACCACTGCGTTGCCTTTCTGGTGCTCTCCCCGGATGAGGCATTGAGGGACAGGGTCCGCTGTCCGAGCACCCAGTGTCGGGTGACCGACAGCTTACTGTGCCGGGCTTACGACATCGGGGCACGGATGGCACGCACCAGCAATTCGCTGTCGGTGCTGTTGCTAGCCCAGTCCCAGATGCTGCAGTCGGGCGCAGCGGGGATGGCACTGGGCGATATGAAAGACGCAGCCCTGCAAGCATTTGGGCTGATGTCCAGGGAGCTTGGTCGGTTGTTGGGCACGCTGGTAGTGGCTTGCCGTCAGGTCTGGTTGGCGCAGGCTCCGGTGTCGGAGGATTGCCGACAGAGCCTGCGCGGTCTGCCCGTGGTGCCGGGCCAGTTGTTCGGGCCCGAGGCTGAGCGGGCGTTGGAACGTCGGCGGCAGTCCAGACAAGCCGCAGAGGCCTGGAGTGGGCGTAGCGGGGCAGGGGTCCTCCCCATGCCACAGTCAAATAGAAAGGGGACCTTCCCCTGGTCCTGCGGGCCATGTGTGGGCCACCCTTTGAGCCAATGACTGCCGCCCCGTTGGCAGTGGTGTCTGTGAAAACCGCCTTTCTCTTGGCAGTGACGTCGGCTAAACGGGTCAGTGAGCTGCACGCACTGGACATCAGCCCCGCCTGCCTGTGGTGGAAGACAGATGGGTCGGGGGTGACGCTGTGGCCCAACGTCGCCTTTCTTCCCAAGGTTCTGCCCGCGGGCTACGTGAATGCCGCAATCGAGCTGGGGGCGTATTTCCCTCCCCCATTTCTTTCGGAGGAACAACGGCGGGCGAATTTGCTGTGCCCGGTCCGGGCACTGCAGCTCTATATTGTGGCCACAAACACTGTCCGGCAGTCGAATCAGCTGTTTGTCTGTCACGGAGGAGTGAACAGGGGTCGGGCCCTCTCGAAGCAGAGGCTGTCGCATTGGGTCGTGGACGCCATTGCGATGGCTTACGCGGCAGTGGGTGCCGTGGCTCCCCCTGGGATCGTGTGCCATTCCACCAGGAGCGTTGCTACATCCTGGGCGGCGATGAGAGGTGTGCCACTGGCGGACGTCTGTGCTGCGGCGTCCTGGGCAACTCCATGCACGTTTGCACGCTTCTACCGCCTCAACGTTGGCCACGGGTCCGCGCTCGCTTCGGCGGTGCTGCCTCTGGCGGCTACCTCCTGAGTGACGGTGAGTTTTATGTTCCTCGTGACACTTCTGGCATAAGTCATCCACTCTGTTTACTGCCACTGGCAGTCAGGAGGGAACGAAACAGAACGGAAGTTACGGTGTAACTATGGTTCTGTGAGTTCCTGGATGACTGCCAGTCACAGGGGTCACTTGGAACTTCTCGGGCGAGAAGATCCCGGGAGACCCGAACGTAGCTATCGGCGCGTAATTTATAGACTCGCGACCAGGTGCGCTACGTGTCACGTGCGTGACTTTGTTTACATTAGTACTCGACCTGCGCAGAGCGCGAGGAGATACATCCACTCTGTTTACTGCCACTGGCAGTCATCCAGGAACTCACAGAACCATAGTTACACCGTAACTTCCGTTATGTTTTTTAGTTTCTTTTTCTACGGGGTGGGGCACCAAATCATTCATCTTTTGCACTCTAGGGAATCTGTGAACTCCCCTTTGTTCATTTTCTCCCGTCTTCTTCAGCATCAACAGGTATGTTTCCAATACCAGAACTCCAGGGTAGTTCCTGGCAGGGTAGTTCCTCCTGAGGCCTCTCCATGCACCACGAGCTGGTTCTCCAGCATCTTCTTGTAGATGTCTTTAGCCTGTCTGATCTAATATTCCGGACTCTCTCTGCTCCTCTTTGTCTCCAGCCATGAAAGCTGTTTTCTTACCATTCAGCAGGGATTTCAGCTCAAGGGTCAACCAGGGTTTATTATTCGACAAACACTTCACTCTTCATGCTGGGACAGTGTTCTCTACACAGAAGTTAATATAATCAGTGACACAGTGAGTCAGGCTGCCAAGGTCATCACTCGCATTCCACCTATGCAGTGTTTCCCCTACATAGGCTAATTCTAGCACCACGGCTATGCAATCACACCCCAACGGCGGGCAGAACCAGGACCAGCTGGGGAAATTCCCGGTGGCCCTATTTAAGTTCGGTGTTTCTTCTCTTATCGGGCTGGTGTTACTCTGTAGATCACCTGCTGCTGATGAGAGGACTTCTCCTGTCAGGATTCAGGAACAGGTGAGCTGCTGCCAACAAGCTTCTGCTCCTAGAAACATGTTCTAGCCCAGACTGTAGTGACCTGTTATTTATAGTTTTATAATTAATATTAAGTGAATACACTAAACCCACAGGTGATGGAAAATCAGATGAAATACGCCTGAATATTTTCTCCCACAACTCTGCTCTGTGAGAATTGAGCAGTCTGCCTCAGCTGGACAACATCAAGTAGAAAAGTGTTTACAGATAACTGATATTTAATGAAGAAACAGCATTAATCATTTTTTTTATTTTAATATTGGTTTTATTTCATTTCTAAGTTCTGGATGTCTGTGAACATTACTGAGTATTCTGATTGGTGTAAATAATACACAATATTATTAATAACAGGTCTGGATGTGGTTTGGTCTGAGCTCTAAAACTACCCTGGGCCTAAAGCCCTGCAGATGCATTCAGTTTCTATAAACAACAGCAGCTGGATTCTACTTTGTTCCTTAAGTCGAGTCGCATAGTTTAACAAGTTCTGCATGCTCACACGTTCACCAGCAGCTCTGCCAGCTGATTGGTTCTTTAGTAACTAGTGACATCATACAGGTGTGGTACTGAGCAGCATGGGTGCATCAGAGGATTTCTCTGTATTCGGTATTCATGATGGATTAGAGACAGGACGGGATATATAATCCATCACATATAATATTATAGTACCATGAACATGTACACACCAAAGGTTCTGGACTGGACTGAGATCTGGTGAGTGTGGAGGCCACTGGAGTCCAGTGACCTCGTGGTCATGTTCTGGAAACCAGGTAGAGATGATCTGAGCTTGGTGACGTGGTGCATGATTCTGCTGGACGTAGCCTCAGAAGATGAGTTCATGGTGTCAGAAAGGGATGGACGTGGTCAGTAACAAGACTCCGGTAGGCTGTGGTACTTAAAGCAGGCCCAGGTGGCACCGAGGGGTCCACAGTGGGACCAGAACAACACCATTACACCAACAGCAGCCTGAAGCATTGATTCAAGGCAGGTTCATTGCTTTGAGGTTCAGAGATGTTGTTCTGCAGAACTTGGTAGGAACCAGAGGTTAGAGCTACAGCTGTCCGTCTGTCATCTAGAACCAATCTGACTGATGTGGCAGTGTGAGCATCCTGTCACAGTGTACCAACTGATCATGCGCCCTGGCTACTTGGCCAAGGGGATATCCCTTTGGCTGACTGGTAAGCGCGCATGAATCTCACCCGGGAGTCTGGGGATCGAATCCCGCCCGGGCCTTCGTTTCTCCACCTTGCCACACTGGTCTCCTCTGACCTCAGCAATGGCTGCTCACTGCATATTCTCTCTTTTTCAGACACTTCTCTGTAAAATGGTACCTGATCTGTATTTTTAGGGTTCTATGGCCCCCCAAGGTGCTTCACATAACTATCATTCGTTCATCCATTCACACGCTGGTGGTGATGAACTACGATTAGCCACAGCTGGCCTGGGGCGCGCTGGCAGGCACCACCACCACCACCACTAGTAGGCAAGGTGGGTTTAGTGTCTTGCCCAAAGACACAACAGCAGTCTCTGGAGGGAACCGGTATTGAACCTGCAACCTTCTGCTTACTGGACAACCCGCTCTACCTCCTGCTGCCGTCCACAAACCCTTCAGATTATTTTGGGTTCAAATCCCAGTAAACCAGCAGGTTCTGAAATACTCAACCAGTACTAAGTTACTGAAGTCTCACGTTTTTCTCCATCTGATGTTCAGTTTGGAGTCCAGTAAAGCACCTACCTAGATGACTAAGGGCATTGACTCGCTGCCCTGTGATTGGCTGAGCAGACATGCTCACCTGATCAGTATATTTAGACCTTTAACTAAAACTCTTGTTTTGTGTCTGTGTCTCTAAGCCAAGCAGTGGTGGTTGATCGGAGCGTGTATGTATCAGGACAGCTGGGGATGGATCCGGCCAGCGGCCAGCTGGTGGGAGGCGGTGTTCAGGCCCAAACCAGACAGGTGTCATCGTCCATCTGCTGATTTCACACCCACACACCTGAGATGTGGCTATAGTTACTTTAGTATTCTGGAAAGTAACTTTTTTGCATGACTTTACTTTAATAACCAGTGTTAACCAGCAGCTGTGTGGGAAAACATTCTTTACAGTAAACCAATGAATGATGAGTGAATGAATGATCTAAAACAACACAACAGCTGCTCTGCACAGATGTAAAACTATCCAAACATTCAGCCGTATTAACAAAATAATCCGCTAAGTACATAGCAGCTGCTCTGGCTGTGCTTTGGCTTTAAAGTGTCACCAGGATCATGTTAGCTCTTCATGGGACTAAGTTCAGGTCCATGTGTTGCAACAGTCTGTTGTGTTTTATTCCTAGGCTCTCGTGAACATGGGGGAGATCCTCCGAATGGCTGGATGCACTTATGAGAACGGTGAGGCGATCCTCTGTGTAGAAGCCATTGTTCTGCAGATGTTCTTCATGCAGTTTACTTTTATTTCTGGCAGTTGTTAAAACCACCGTGCTTCTCGCTGACATCAATGATTTCTCAAATGTCAATGAAGTTTACAAGCAGTGTGAGTATACTGGCTTCCTCTCTATGTTAGATAAGAGCTGTTGTACAACCCTGACCGCTGGGTGTCAGCACAAACTAGCTATAGCACAAGTCCCATTTATTTAGCATAAGGAGCCTTTAGATCTGCCCGCTTTGCCCATCTTTCCTTAGTTTACTCCATACATGTTTTTATATTCCCTACTTCTAAATAAAGTGATGTTCTGTCTGGAAGAGTTTTTATGGCTCCATGCTGATGTGAGGAGAGATCACCACATGTTGCATAAGCCAGTTAAACACCAGACAAATGAAATTCCTTTTGTTTTTAATGACCGATAAATCTACTGGGACTCAGTAGACATGCATACATGTACACCATCACTACTATAGGGTACTGGAAAACCTTTAAAACTAACCTTGTGAGGTGTAGGAACCCTGACCTTAACCATGTCTAATGAATAATTTCTGTAGTTTTCAGAAGCAACTTCCCAGCCAGAGCTGCTTATCAGGCCGCTGCCCTCCCCAGAGTGAGTACATGAAGACTTTCTGTGGCGGTTCTTTCCAGACCTCAGACGTCATCTGGACTGTGCTGCATGTGTGTCTTCAGGGTGGGCTGGTCGAGATCGAAGCTGTAGCTGTTTTGGGACCTCTGAGTGACTCTTCCTAACAATCTTCTGATGCTGTAGTGGTACTGTTTTGTAGGACAAGCAAAGATCAATAAAAAAAGGTTGTGAGTGAAATGCAGACACACTGTGTGATTTATAATCATACCACAGAGGGACTAGAGCTGAAACTCAGGGCTTTCTCCTCTCGTGTTTGAATACAACTCAGCGTTTTCAGATCCAGTTGCTCACATTTCCATCAACAAAAGCTGCAAAGTGTCTCACCTTGTTTGTTGGCTCGTTTCATTACCTGCCTTTGTGCCCACCTGCCACTCTCATGGCTGACTGTACATCCTCATTATTAATGATCAGACCTAATCCAGTAATAAATGCTTCCATCTTTCTTGAGCCTTTTGATGTACTTACAACAACAATCCTACATAACGGTTGCTTGTCCGTGTTTTTCCACTGGATTTGTGTTGGTGACCTTCGGGGATGAAAGCGCAAACGAGGCGTTGTGTGTTACAACCCTGTACATAGTTTTGACTAAAGGACAGGAAAAAACACTTGCAGTATGTCTTAAATGTTCGGACACATCGGCTGACTCGTCTTGACAGAAGCAGTAGAGTAGTGTCCAAACCTTTGCCTGCAGATTCGCACTTTAAAGGTATAATATGTAAGAATTCTAAATTATCACTCCACAGTCTGTCTCCTTTGTTGGAATGAACGTTTCACTGAAACAGATTTTGTTCTCAGCCAGCTGGGGGGTGTCCGTTTTTCTCCTTTAAAAATGGCCAAAGAGGGAATAGTTTTTGTTTACAGTCTAAGTGGGCGGGGTTACCGAAGCTGCACTGATGTAATCCGACACCAGCTGGGAACATGCAGCAGTGCTTTGTAAAGATCCTGAACCAGTAACGTATAAGGTTTGGTCTTGAAGCATGCTGTGATGCAGCATTACCTTGTCAGTCTTATCAGAATGATATTAAAGGGTGAGGCACACTGTGGGCAGAGACTTCTTTCACACACACTTCCTGCTAGAAAAGTGTGCCTACAGGAGGTGCCTCCTGGCGAACCGAGAGCAGCACTCACCCCAAACCCCACCCGCACTCTGAGCTTCTCAGTCGCACACTCGTGCATGTGTGCAAGCACTTACACACGGCAGACTCACCGCTCAGGAGAAGAGCAAACACAGAATCTGCAGCAGGTTGGAGGGTTTCCTGTCAACTGGTCACCAGAAGAAAGGGGGGAGGAGCTTGGAGCCATAATGTTTCAAATGGACAGGTGAGTGGCCAAGACTCAGCTGAAGCTGAACTGCAGCTACGTGGTATGGTACAGACAACATCACCGTGGCCTGCTTCTACAGCCTTCAGCTGTGGCTGATTCTAACTCAACGTGGAGCAGACGTTTACCCTGAAGATGGAGATAAAAGTATGTAGATTTTTTTTTAAACAAGATGTGCTAAACTGCCAAAACAATGATTACGCGTGTCTACTCTACAGCACTATCAGACACTCTAACATACAGCTTATCAGCCAAAAAAAGCTCATTTAGGCATTACTGGCTCTTTAATGATCAAAGGCAGGCACGTCTGCATCCCTATTCTAACTCCCAAAGGTCATCTATTTTAACTTTTCCTGTTTGTGAATTATATTTTATTTTTAAACATCCTATAAAAGTGTCTCCAAAGTTCATAATTTGTTTATTTTAAAATAAAAATGCCATTCAAAGCTTTTTCTGCATCTGTTCCAATCCAAACTACCCGTTCCTCTACATCCTTTATTATAGAGTAGATTTCTTATGTTATCTGAGCCTTCGCAGCTTTTAATAAAACTTGTCTGGTCAACATGAATCAGATGTCCTATTATTTTTCATATATGTTAACAGTTTGGTTAAAACTTAACTTCTTCACATACTTAACATTTAAAATTGGAAAAAAATGATCGCGCCCAAAAACTCCATTCCAAAAATGTATTTACTGATTCATTTCAGCTTGTTGGCCGAACTGTGGACTGAAAGACAGTTGGTGACTCGGATCCTTCTGTTGCTGATCAGATTATTGTCCGTTTCAGGGTAAAGCGTGCAAGGTGTCTCCGGCCTGTCTGAAGTGAAATTAACTAAAACAGTAGAGGAAGTAGAGGGCATTAAAACGCCTCTCGACTTTCTAGCAGAAGAAATCTCTGCCATCAGGCTGCGGCAGAAGCATCTTGGACGTTGTGGAGGAGGTAAAGCTACTTCAAACACAGAACGTGGAGAAGAATAAGCAGATTGAGTATCTGGAAAGTCGAATAGCCGACCTAGAACAATATACCGGGATAAATGCTGTAATAATCTTTGCACAAACGTGCACGGGCGGGGACATCTGATGGTGGAGGAGAACCTGAGCAGCTGGACACTAGCTCCATGGAGCAGCAGGTGGCTCCTTTTGGATGAAGTCCAAAGGATCCAGCTGGACTGGGACAACATCGAGACCTGTCACCCTCTGGCCAGGAGAAACACTGGTGCAATCTACGTTCATCCCCTGCCTCGACCACTGCAATGCCTTTCGTCTTCCAGCCAGTACTATGAGACCTTTTCAAATGGTCCTGAACGCAGCGGTGTATCTGGTCTTCAATCAGCTTTTAAGAGCACGTTACCCCTCTGTTCACTGAGCTACATTGGCTACCATTAGCGGCACACATCTAATTCAAATTGCAAGCACTAGCATACACAGACATGAAAATCCCTAGCCTTTTGGCGAAATTCGCCGTATAGCGTGTATAGCGAGGCCGGCTTTTCCCGTTTAACCAGTTTCAATATTATCAACTATTATTATTCAGGAGGATTTTTAAGACGCCCCGACACCACCAACAGTAGAGAAAATAAAAAAATTTATCTGTCGGAACCGGTGACGCGTGACCCGCATGAACGCAGCTCGTCTGGAAGTCTCCTGTGTAGACCCCCAGATGATGGCTCTTCCCTGCTTGTACGATCCGAGCCTGAATGGACTACCAACGGGTCGGATCGGACTTGAGTTGATAAATTTAATTTGAGCGTGATGAGTCATGCCAGGACGGCAGAGAGAGAGAGAGGGGAGACGAGGATGCATCTCAAATGGAACACAGTGGAAGCGTTATCGTGGAGTATGATGTCTCTGGCCATCCAGTGTTGGGCTGAAGGTCCTCGGGTTATTACAGTCTTTGGATCTGGTTGGGCTCTACTGCACTGCTGCTGGCGGGGGTGGGGGTGACAGTCAAAGATAAATTATAATGTAGTTTAGCTGTCGGCCTGTAAAAGTTCCCGCTGAACTTTATTCTGTTTCGTGAACCAGGGTGACCTGGGTCTGTGTTAAATTCAACTTTAAAACTGGAAGAAACTTTAGTCTACCTTTGAGTTAGATGTTTTCTTCTTGTTTGCTTGTTTCTTCTCCTCAAAGACACGATGGATATAAGAGAATGTCCCCAAAGGAGGGGTTAGTTAGCTGGTTGGTGAGGTGAGGTAGCTGTCATTAAACCCTAATCTCACCTTTTTCACCCTTGACCCGATACAAAGTCCTGGATGGTACGCCTCCCATCAACCTGAATCGTCTTGTAAAGGCTTACATCACGGCCCGGCCGCTACGGTCATCAAACAATCATCGGCTAGCACGCCTACACCACGCTCAGGAGAATCCAGACTCTTCATGTGTCGTTCCACAGATGTGGAATTACCTGCAAGCACTAATAGAACATGGGCTTATTTGTCGATTTTCAAGAAACTCCTGAAGACCCAGCTTTTCAGAGAGCATCTTCTAAACTAGCACCTTCCCAGCACCCATCCCTCTCTCTACTGTCCTCTCCTTGTTCACTTCCCTTTATCATTGATTATGCTGCCTCACTGCCACCTAGGATTGACTGATCAGTGTTTGCTGTTAGCCTCAAGGGTAACCTGCTGCTTCATCATCACCTGTAAGTCACTTTGGACAAAAGTGTCTGCTAATACATAAACAAATTATCAGGAGAGGAAGAATGCTTAAGTGGTTAGCAGCAGTGTGCTAGCCGATGGCCCCCTCCCTGAGGCTACCACAGGTCAGCAGAACATCATTGTAGCTTCTTCTGAGGAGAAAAACACTTAGAGAAAAAATAAAGTTAACAGCTGAAATTACAGGAAATAAAACAGTTAAAGAGCAAATTGTAGAAGAAAGTAGTCGAGTGTGGAAAGTCGTCAGTATGTCCTCCAGACCATCTCTAAACTTCCGTTCATCTCCAAGATCTTGGAAAAGGTTGTGGCTAAACAACTCACAGCTGCGCTTGATGAACAGAACATCTATGATTGCTTACAGTCAGGTTTTCGTAGAGCTCATTCTACTGAAACAGCTCTTCTTAGGGTCTCTAATGACATCCTGGCCCACTGTGATGCAGGGGACTGTTCTGTTCTGGTCCTGCTGGATCTGACTGCAGCCTTTGACACTGTTGATCATCATCTGCTACTGGAGAGGCTGGGAGACTGGGTAAGCCTATCAGGAACTGCTCTGGAGTGGTTCTTTTATCTTTCTGAGCGTTCCTTCTCTGTGGCCGTCTCCAAGTTTAGGTCCTCCACCATCTCTCTTACCCATGGTGTCCCACAAGATTCTGTGCTAAGGCTTCTGCTCTTCCTCCTTTATCTGCTTCCTCTTCAGCACATCCTGAGCTCCTTCAAAGGAATCTCCTACCATCTTTATGCAGATGGCATCCAACTGTACATCTCCTTTAAGCCCCATGAGATGTCTAAGCTGCAGCTGTTACACACCTGCTTAGACTCTATCAAAACCTGGATGGCTGGGAGCTTTCTTCAGCTGAATGAAGATAAGACTGAGATCCTCATCTGTGCCCCAGGCAAGCTGGTTCCCAAAGTCAGAGACTCTCTTGGTCAGCTTGCTTCTCACACCAAACCTTCTGTCAGGAATCTTGGCATGACCTTTGACCCAGCTCTCACCTTGGATTCTCATGTCAGTTCTCTTGTTGGCTCTTCCTACTTACATTTCAGGAACATTTCTAAGCTGAGTCCCATTCTGTCCCGCTCTGAACTTGAGACAGTTATCCACACCTTCATCTCCTCACGCTTAGACTACTGTAACTCTCTTTTCACGTGTCTGAGCAGAACCTCCCTGAACCGTCTACAGGTGGTTCAGAACGCCTGTGCTCGGCT